AATACATGTAGTGGAGGAAAAGTACACCATGTACCTCTGAACTGTAGAGGAGTAGAAGTACAAGGTAGCATGAAATAAAAGTACCTCAAAATTGTCCTTAAGTAAATGTACTTCCCACCTCTGCTGTATTTGTCTTTGTTGTTTTCAAATTGTTCTGGAAATATCTGAGAACAGCAAACAGGATGTTTTCCAGCTGCTATTTTTAAAAGTATTAAATTGTTTACAGAGGATCCTTTAGCTGCCACTCTGCAGGAACACAGCTCTCTCTCTTCCTCCTGATGAAAGCAATCCAATCCACTTTATTTCTATTGCACATTTTAAAAACAGAGGGTTTGCCAAAGTGCTTTACAACGAACATAACATTATAACAAAATATAATATTACAACAATAGATAAAACTGGCACACATAAGAATAAATACAAGGCACACATAAAGGCTACGGACAGACAATAAAAGCCTTCAAATAGGTAGCGAGGGAAAAGAGGTGGGTCTTCAGGCGGGACTTAAAAGTTTGAAGAGTGGGCGACAATTTGACAATTTGGGGGGGGGGCAGGTCGTTCCAGAGCCTGGGGGCTACCGCTGAGAAGCCTCGGTCTCCCCTGGTCTTTCTCTTTGTTTAGGGACTACCAGCAGCAGCTGATCAGCCAACCTCAAAGCCCTTGAGGGGGTGTCCACCTTTAGGAGGTCGGAGATGAACTGAGGGGCCAGCCCATTGAGCGATTTAAAAACAAATAATAACATCTTATAATGAACTCTAAAATGGACCGGAAGCCAGAGGAGGGAAGCCTGAGGAGGGAAGCCTGAGGAGGGAAGCCTGAGGAGGGAAGCCTGAGGAGGGAAGCCTGAGGAGGGAAGCCAGAGAGGAGGGAAGCCTGAGGAGGGAAGCCAGAGGAGGGAAGCCAGAGGAGGGAAGCCTGAGGAGGGAAGCCTGAGGAGGGAAGCCAGAGGAGGGAAGCCTGAGGAGGGAAGCCTGAGGAGGGAAGCCTGAGGAGGGAAGCCTGAGGAGGGAAGCCAGAGGAGGGAAGCCTGAGGAGGGAAGCCAGAGGAGGGAAGCCAGAGGAGGGAAGCCAGAGGAGGGAAGCCTGAGGAGGGAAGCCTGAGGAGGGAAGCCAGAGGAGAGAAGCCTGAGGAGGGAAGCCAGAGGAGAGAAGCCTGAGGAGGGAAGCCAGAGGAGGGAAGCCTGAGGAGGGAAGCCAGAGGAGGGAAGCCTGAGGAGGGAAGCCAGAGGAGGGAAGCCAGAGGAGGGAAGCCTGAGGAGGGAAGCCTGAGGAGGGAAGCCAGAGGAGAGAAGCCTGAGGAGGGAAGCCAGAGGAGGGAAGCCTGAGGAGGGAAGCCTGAGGAGGGAAGCCTGAGGAGGGAAGCCAGAGGAGGGAAGCCAGAGGAGGGAAGCCAGAGGAGGGAAGCCTGAGGAGGGAAGCCAGAGGAGGGAAGCCTGAGGAGGGAAGCCAGAGGAGAGAAGCCTGAGGAGGGAAGCCTGAGGAGGGAAGCCTGAGGAGGGAAGCCAGAGGAGGGAAGCCAGAGGAGGGAAGCCTGAGGAGGGAAGCCTGAGGAGGGAAGCCTGAGGAGGGAAGCCAGAGGAGGGAAGGCTGAGGAGGGAAGCCTGAGGAGGGAAGCCTGAGGAGGGAAGCCAGAGGAGAGAAGCCAGAGGAGGGAAGCCAGAGGAGGGAAGCCAGAGGAGGGAAGCCTGAGGAGGGAAGCCAGAGGAGGGAAGCCTGAGGAGGGAAGCCAGAGGAGGAAGCCTGAGGAGGGAAGCCTGAGGAGGGAAGCCTGAGGAGGGAAGCATGAGGAGGGAAGCCAGAGGAGGGAAGCCAGAGGAGGGAAGCCAGAGGAGGGAAGCCTGAGGAGGGAAGCCAGAGGAGGGAAGCCAGAGGAGGGAAGCCTGAGGAGAGAAGCCAGAGGAGGGAAGCCTGAGGAGAGAAGCCAGAGGAGGGAAGCCAGAGGAGGGAAGCCAGAGGAGAGAAGCCAGAGGAGGGAAGTCAGAGGAGGGAAGCCTGAGGAGGGAAGCCAGAGGAGGGAAGCCTGAGGAGGGAAGCCTGAGGAGGGAAGCCAGAGGAGGGAAGCCAGAGGAGGGAAGCCTGAGGAGGGAAGCCAGAGGAGGAAGCCAGAGGAGGGAAGCCAGAGGAGGGAAGTCAGAGGAGAGAAGCCAGAGGAGAGAAGCCAGAGGAGGGAAGCCAGAGGAGGGAAGCCAGAGTTGGTGTGATGTGCTCATGCGGGTTCCTGTAAGCAGCCGAGCCGCAGCGTTTTGTAAACCTTGTTATTCTCCGCCATACGTCACCAACTCATTTCAGTGGCTGCAGCGATGACTGTTTGTTTTCATTGCATTACATTGGGCTTCCCTGCAGGCTTTTATCAGCATAAAAACCCGCTTTCATGTGATTTTACTCCTGCTCCTTTATTTTATTGCATTCCTTCAGCGCATTTTTATTGTTTTCTATTTCATTATTTTATTTGTTAAACTCCATCTGCAATCCATATGCATCTCGTGGGACAATAAAGATTGAATTGAACGGCTCGGGGAGGAGAGCAGGAGACGATGGGAAAATAAAGAATAACTCGAGAAAACCATCTCACTGTGAGGAGTGCTTCGTAACTTCAGGGCTTTTTGAACATATCATAAGATCTGGAATAAACACAAGGGTTGCGGTCGAATAGTCCAAATATCAGCTCCTACGTTCTAACCCTATCGTCTATTCCTTGACCTCTGAGTGAAAGGTCACAGGGTTAAGGGATAGTGGATAGGAGAATTCAAAAGGACTTAGGAGAAGAGACTGCGGTACTTTAGAGAATCAACTGCACTTCCACTATCCGACGTGTTTATGATGCGCCAGCGGAGGTCATAAATGTGTGCCTGCTGCTGTGGGGAAACTATGGAAACTACAGTTTTCTATACAGCGGACTACAACATGGATGTTTAATAAGAACGAGGGACTACTGTAAACTCATCTAGAGACTCTGCACCGTGCTCTGATGCTGTTATGCTTTATGAACGGGACAACAGAGAAACATATTCTTCATGACCAAAGTTGGAATTGAAATAAAAAAGGAAAGTGAAATTTATTCTCGTCCTTAACATCTATCACTGTGTATATCACCATTCAAACATCTTTTAAAAGTTGAACAAACCCCACACAGCTCAGTAAAGACTGTGAAATGTTGACTTTATTTGATCATTTCAGTCAAAACTAACGTTCATATTTCTCTTTTTGATTAATACTGATGAACGTTCAAAACAAAGCACTTTGGCAACTTACCACATACGTTTTGAACCGTAACTTTCATGATATCATTTCTCGTTCATAATCGGTTGTTTCCGTGAACGACCGACTGTTGTGTGACGGCAAGGCAAATGCCGCGGACGCAAGGCATTGTGGGGCAGCATGTTCTCCTCTCCTTAAGGTGAGGGAGGTCCAGTGGTTCCTAAGCTAAAGGAGGTTATAAAGGAAGTTTGAAACCTCCTTTCCTTTCATTTAGAGAATTCGACCGGCTCTTATCATGGCTGCCACTGAGGGACCTCCGGGTCATTTCACTCCGTTAGGAAGGTTCCTAAGCTAAATGGACTATTCGACCGCAACCAAGGAGTCCTTTAAGTGCTCAGGAAAAAAAGCTGCTGATGAATTTGATCAATGGTTCAAAGTACGGAGGCCGACAGGTGCAAAGCATGAGTTTTGGAACATTTGTGTTTTATATCTGCATCCTTTCTGTCTGCCATAAGAGCATCTACGAGCACCTTGTGAACGTCTGCCTCTTTCACTACAACACAATAAACTCTTCTGTGTTTTTTGATTTAGAAACAGGTTTCTTGCCAAGTAGGTTACGCAAGAACTTACATAGAAAACATACAATACACACATTGAAAAAGCTACTAAATAAATGTAAATATGTAGGTTATAATATGTAATTATATAGATTCAATACAGATGTTGGGTTTCTGTAGTGGATCGTGAAGGCAGCATCTCCCTGGTTTCCTCCAACGGGATTTTGCATTGGATTTTGGATTATTGCATACAATTTAAAATATCCTATTTTTCTGACATCAGTGTAATACTCTCTAAGGATATATCATTAGATTCCACTTGTGCTCATAAAAGCTGCACTTCACCACTAAATGAGTCAGTTCATCTGCTACGTGTCACTTTAACCATCAGACACTGCAACACGGACACCTAGCGGCCAAATGCTCACACTGCAATGACATGATAGTGGGACATAAACAAACATATATATACAAACATAAATTAATAGACATGTATTCATTTAGATGCAACATCCTAGATATAAGATATACAGGATATCCCTTTTAATTGTATCTGAACTTCATATGATATGTTGTGCCTTGTGAGATTTAAACATTACACATTTACCTGTTGAGAGGTTTAAATGTTACAAAAGTCTGCAATCAAACAAAATGTGATAAAAACCTCCAATAAATATGGAAAAAATGTGTGTGTTTTATTTTTCAGTATATAACTTGTTTTGCAAGATGTAATAATGATAATAAGATCAATGATTAAGTGGTTTACAATGGACTACTAGGTTGTAAATAAGAATGCAGATCAAAATATATAGCAAAACTGGTGGTACACGGTTGAATTATTGCCAGAAATATTCTACGGTTTTATATATAATAAAATAGTACCCCCACCTAACAATGTACATTTCTCCTCTACTGTGTTAATAAAGAGGTATTATGATTGCATATCCCTCCACTTTAAAATATAAGACATTGAAGTTTGTCATTTATTCTCATATATAAAAATGTTAAGGTTATTTTGTATATTTAAATTCAAGTGTCAGATTCAGATTAGATTCTCTTGCACTATTTTATCTGTTTTATTTGTCCTATATGTTGGTCTGTTGGAGGAGCCTTAAGTGTATCATTGCCATATCTACACTGTAGCTAATGTGCAAATGACGATAAAGCCTTGCAATGGAATTGAAGACTACATTACCCAACATGCTTTTCGCGATGCGTGATGACGTCACAGCACATCAACACAACCTCACATGTGGCCTAGAGAGACGCCGTCGCTGTTTGCGGTGTTTTAGCATCTACTGCCCGAAACACCGAATATAAAACACATATTACGGCTTTAATCGCGTGTCGCACACAGCTACTCCCGAGCCAACATGCCTCCCAAGAAACCCGCCCAGCCTGCGGCGAATAAAAAGACCCAGGAGAAGAAAAAGGAAAAGATTATTGAGGTAAAAAAAATTACACACGAGTTAGCATGTCGTGCTAACTAGGAGCTAACACAAGTTAACGATAAATGAACCTTATTGTCAACGTTAACTCATCAGTAGTGGTTATGATTATTAAGTTACCCTATAACAAATACCCTCATCACTTTAAATACATGTTAAGAGAGTTATTATTAGCTAGCTGTTACGAGGCTAACTACATGTGTTTTAATATTAGCTCACATGCTAATTGGAGCTAACTCAAATAGCTGATAAATTAACGGTTTAGCTGTTGTAAGTGTTCTAATCTGTCCTAATAAAGATGATTTATGTCCTCAAAATCAGCAGGTATCCCCGTGAGGCTTTACATGAACTGTAAATAGTGTTTATTACGATTATTTCTGTGCTTTTTATTCATTATGTGGCTTTAAAGGGCGCAGGCCTGCTTACAGTCGGCCTCAAAAGACCAGATTTTAGCTTCAAACTGGAGAAAAGTTGTATTTTTTTAAACTTACATAGATTCTTCTGGAACTTGAGATGATTGTCAGTGTGGATGTTGTGATGTAAAAGCAGCTGAGGTCTTAAATGATTGTCATATCGTCCAGTCAAAGTGTTCATAACCGGCTTTTAGCGTTAGCCGCCTTTTGCAGCTCAGATTGCACTGCAACGTGTTAGCGGACAGCTGGGTTCATGCTGCACATTCTGACTCAATAGCTTCATTTAAAGTGACTTCATTCCGTGTTTATATCCATGTCTGTGTGATATAAGAGCTGCGAAGTGTCTCCTGTACACAGTATCACCTGCCACATCTTACCACAGGTGCTAAGTGTGATTTATGGCCAGATGTTAAAGGGGAAAGTTAGGTTTTCTTTACATATCATGGAAATGTATAGATTGTGTTATAATGAAGTATTGTGTGTTGATCTGAAGTCTGATTCAGCTCTTTGTTCGGTGCCATGAGACCTCTATTGTTGTCCAGAAACTATTGAATACTCATGAGCCACACAATGTTAAACTACATTTCCCAGGCAAGTTTATTTCTAACAATGGAAATAAAACTAAAACCAAAAAATCCTTTGACAGAAAAACATTCATAATATAAACTATTGTTGTTGTTGTCATATATCATTGTAAAATATACATATAATTGTGGGTATTTGGAAAACATTTAAGGACATCATGGCACTTACATTTGTAGGGGTATCTTTACGTTAATTATGCACGATATGCCGTAAAGTGTTTTGAATCAGAATACCTTTATTTGATGTAATGTATAGTTGTTACAGCAGGTAACGAGACAAACATAGCTTTTAATGATCAAGAATGTGTTTCTTTTGTTTATATTTAATATCCTATTTTTCCTTTTCCTTTATTAATTGTCTTTTCCACTTTTTAAGTATTTGTATTTTAATGTCTGAACACACTGCTTCTGTAACAAAATATCTCTCTCCCTCCCTCCCTCTATCTATCCATCTCTCTCTCTATCCATCCATCTCTCTCTATCTCTCTCCCTCCCTCTCTATCCATCTATCCATCCATCCATCTATCCATCCATCCCTCTCTCTCTCTATCTCTATCTATCTTTCTAATATATCTCAAGAAGCATCAACATATGAAAGATAGAAAACTAGAAATGACACAACCCATCCAGTACCAATAACAGTTTAGAGATACAGCAGCCAGGTGAAAGTACAACAGGTGGAATTATATATATATATATATATATATATTGCACATAAGGAGTGTTATAGTCAGGGGTGCACATAACTGGTACGCAGGTACGCATGCGCGGCAACAATCTGAAATGCGTACCGTCACTTGTGTCACAAAGCGCATTTGCGTCCCGACGTACTTGTGAAGCTTTTCCAGAAGGCGGTTAGATCACCGGACGACAGAGTCGGTCTCCTTGTGCACAGACAGGGCTGCTGTTAACGTCGGTCTGTACAGCAGCCCTGCGCTAAAACAGCTGATCACAACGTTCACACGCTCCGCAGACATGAAGCTCTGCACTCCACTACCACCCCGCCCCCCCCGTTGACAATCGCCAGAAGTTGGAGTACCAAACACTGACTCCAGGTACTCATCTGAGTACCTCACTGGGAAAGTTGTGTGCACCCCTGGTTATAGTCTTTGTTGCGGGTGCATCATCCTTCATTTGAAGAACTGCCCAATAGTAGAAACCATGATGGTTCCTGTTTAGTTTGAGGCAACGTATGTGCCCCTCTTTATTGTGTGGGTTTGTAATAATGACAACAAAGTACAGGAGCAGTTGTTATTTGAGAATGCTTTTTTTTTTTAAAACATGTATTTATTGATTTTTTTACATGTATCACATTACACAAACACAACATTAGACATATGGCAGATTACAAAATAATGACATTTAAAAAAGTAATGCCGTTACTAGAAATCAGTTTAAAGTACAGACCAAGAATACAATTACATTTGCAAATTAACAAATTCAACCGAAATACAATAAAAGCACACAAACAGAGCAGAGTACAGCTTGCAGTTCTCCAAATAGATGAACCGTATTCAACATTTCCTCTAAGTAGTTTAGTCTTTTCACTTTCCACTTCTGCAATGTCCCCATTTGTTATAAATGTAATAAAAACAATTCTCAAATGGTGTAAAGTTCAGACGCTTTCTCCCCTTAGTATATATGTATTTGAGAATGCATATGATTAAATGTCCTGTATTCTTTTTGCACATTTCTGTTTCCAGGACAAGACATTTGGCCTGAAGAACAAGAAGGGGGGGAAGCAGCAGAAGTTCATAAAGAATGTGGAGCACCAGGTCAAATCGGGAGGACCTCCGAGGCCAAAGGTCAGCAGGAAATCTCTGTTCAATAACCACAGAGCGGAGCAGGGATGTTGCTTTGTGTAGTTCGACCCTGAAGGAAGCGGCTGGTTCCCTCGACTAAAAGCAAACACATTTCTCCATAAGATTTAGGAATATTGTAAAAAATAAGATCTGTGGAAAACTAACCTGTTTGATAAATGCACGTTTTGTTCAGCCGGATAATCTCCACATGTCTTCCCTACTTTTAATGGCCAGAAGCTAAATGCTAACGTGATGCTATAATCAGCTGCGAGTACAGCTGCACGACTTCAACGTCACGCCAACTTCAGATCCATATTCAAACACACAGATTCTAAATGGTACGAGTTGAAGCGTTTGTTTGAACAGTTAGCAGGAGGCAGGTACTTGCTTTCAAGCAGAACAGGGCAAACTAACTTAGAGGAGTGTTTACGTGTTCGGCGTAATGACGTACAACGTCCTCCACGACTTCTGTAGTCCTATTCAGCCACTTGGTAACAACCATCGTTTTTCAGACACGTCAACTTTTCAGAAATCACCAGTGGGGTCACTGCTGATGGATTTAATGTCCTAGAACAAAACGTGATCCGTCTCTTCAATGAGTCTCAACCTCAGACCTTACTTACAGATATTTTCCTAAATCCTATGGAGAGATCCCATTGGCTCTGAGACCAGGGAGCAGTGTAAAATGCTGACTCACTTCCGGGTTTTAGGACTCATTCCTGCACCACTCTGTCTGTGTTTTATTTAAATGTCCACAGAGGTTTCTCTCTACCTCATTCCTCTTCTACCAAATCCTCCTAAATCCTCAGCTGTGATAATAACCTTGTAAGAGACGGAAGAACAATGAGACATCGCAGCCGATAACAACTCTTTTCTCTAATCATTTAGTCACTTTTAAATAGTGGAAAATGCAGCCTCTCAAATGTGTACATCTTCTGCTTTTCTCCGTTTCATATCCCAGGTATGGGTGTATGAAATTGTCAAATATCACAATATTATGTTTTGTTATACTGAATACATTCTTAAAACCACAGCATTCATTCTCCAATGAATGGAGATCTGTTTTCCTCCAGATCTCCTTGTTGTGATGCATGAGTAAACATTATTTACTCGTTATACTCTGAGACAGTTTGCCTTAAATTACAGGTTTAAAAATCGCGATATATTGCAATATAATAAATGGTAACTACATAAATGTATCTTTGAGTGTTAGACGGATAAAGCAACTTCACCTCGGACATTTTTCATAATTTTCACTTCAAACTCTAGAAACTATTTAGAAGATTTATCAAATAGGATAATAATAAATAATCGTTAGTTGCAGCTCTGAACAGAACTGATTATATTGCATTGATCATCTGAAGTGTATGTACTCTCTCTAATGTGTGTGTGTGTGTGTGCGTCAGGCGGATGGCAAGAAGGGGGATAAGAAGAAGGAGTTGGACGAACTCAACGACCTCTTCAAACCCGTCATCGCTGCTCAGAAAGTCGCCGCAGGTAGACTTGATCCGACCATTAAACTATTATCGTATGGGATCGTAGATATTTATTAACCCTCGAATCCTGTGTGTTTTCCTCCAGGCGTGGACCCCAAATCGGTGCTCTGTGCGTTCTTCAAACAGGGCCAGTGCACCAAAGGAGACAAGTGCAAGTTCAGCCACGACCTCACCATGGAGAGGAAGTGTGAGAAGAGGAGTCTGTACGTCGACAAGAGGGACGACGAGCTGGAGAAAGGTCGGGGAATACTTTATGATATACTTGCTATATACTATACTATGCCTGCGATCACAACAATATTCACGAAACTGTGTCTCAGGGCTTCTTAACATTTAACAAACTATGAATGTGTCATCCCCACTTAACGGGAAGAAACTCAGCTATCAGACAATATTAACAATTCTTAGCAAAACGAAACACAAGGGTAACACCAAGTCTCTGAATCAGCACTAAGCGAAAGGGTGCTAACGCCAGAGTTCCCGTTAGAATATTTTTTTGCCGGTCAACATGTCCGTTAAAGTTTAAATCTTCCGGACAAAATGAGAAAAGTGCCGGTCAAAGGTCTTCTTATTTATTGAGCTTTAAAACAAATTGATATGATTCGATATTAAACAAACTAATTCTAGTAGATTAACTACATTATTCAAAAGTGTACAGTAATTTATAACACGGGAATAATAAACGGAGCGCTCTCTCTCCCTCTCCTGACATCCCGTCAGTATCATTGTGCTAAAGGGAAATTATTTTGACCGGAGAGATTTAGATTTGCCGGTCTTCAGCATATTTTACCGGTCAAAGTCCGGTAATTACCAGCTAACGGGAACTCTGGCTAACGCACTTAGCACAGAACTCACGGTAGAAATATGTTATACTTCATGCTATCGTCACAAACAGATTAAAGCTGAGATTCCACTGGTATAAGTATCATCACTGTGCGACCAGAGCTCAGGGCAGTGAAGGCGAAACCAGACGACACACAACGTAGCTTTACGGGGCCAAACGGCAAATAACTCTTACCGTTGCTGTTTTCTGATCAAAATGTGTGTTCAATGGAATTAAAACACATTTAAACGCTGCTGAAGGTTAATCCAATGTCTCCGTGTCACTTTGAAATGATTTCTGATAATCCATCATAACATTTCTGGCAATAAGCCTAGTTTTCATATAGAGTGTAACGGAGCTTCCGGTTTTGGGCAAACTGCGTGCGCATCACTCTCACTCCTCAATGGTAATGTTAAGATGGATTTTAGGAACTTCCCCTCGATTCTATTGGCTCTGACGGTTACAAAGAGGTGTCAATCATCCAAATCGACCAATGGGTTCCAGAGAAATGGCAAAACCACCCAAATGACCCCAGAGGTGTTTTTATTTTTGCTAAACCTCTCTAAAAAGGTCACATGTCACTTGTTTTGCATCAATCTTGAAACAGGGTACTTCTGATATGTTATAGTTTGGTTTCCTAAAGCTTTTTAGTCTCCGATCATTCAAGGGTAGGTTTCACTATAAGTAATGTCTTTTTTTGGACGGACACTATAATTTACATTTTTTTACTATATTCAATCTGAATTTACTTAAAAATAAAAACATCTATATTGATTCTGACTTTTCTACATCCAACTCACAGATGTAACCTTGCTTTGAGAAAAAAGATTATTAATTTAACCCTTTTAGAAGCGAAGATATAGTCATTTGTTCTGGGAATGTCATTTTCGAGTCTGAGACCTGAAAGACAGGCTCAGGGCTTAACAGGTTAAAGGTAAACACATTTATCTTTTGTAAAATATAAGAAACACGGTAGAGATAATATCACCTGAGAATCATCCAGGACTGTTCGGAGTTTATTTTCGCTTTTACAGAGACTTTGATTGTACTTTCAGGGGTTTAGTTGTTTATAAAAAGCTTAATTATGTGTTAAATGAATGTTGTTATTTGTAGACACTATGGACGGCTGGGACGAGAAGAAGCTGGAGGAGGTGGTGGCCCATAAGCACGGAGAGTCAGAGAAGAAGAAAGTCAAAACAAATATCGTAAGTCTTATTAATAAAGGAGAAGATCAGGAGGCAGGTGCATGATGGGAAACTGCACTCTTATCAAATGATCAATTAGAAAATGTACAGATGACTAAGAGACAAAAAGGCTTTGTGCCACTGAAATATTGCACGAGCTCTATTGCCATGTTGATACAACTTCCATTAACTGTGTGTGTCTCTGTGTGTGTGTGTGTGTGTGTGTGTCTCTGTGTGTGTGTGTGTGTGTGTGTGTCTCTGTGTGTGTGTGTGTGTCTCTGTGTGTGTGTGTGTGTGTGTGTGTGTGTGTGTGTCTCTGTGTGTGTGCAGGTGTGTAAGCACTTCCTGGACGCCATCGAGGGCAACAAGTACGGCTGGTTCTGGGCGTGTCCGTCAGGCGGAGAAGTCTGCATGTACCGCCACGCTCTGCCACCAGGCTTCGTCCTGAAGAAAGACAAGAAGAAGGACGAGAAGGAGGAAGAGAAGATCTCACTGGAGGAGCTGATCGAGAACGAGGTGAGGAGGAAATATAGAAATATAGTAATAAGTGTCTAAATGAGACGACTAAACGTCATCAGACCCAACATTAGTCACCTTTAGCTTAGCAGTGGTGACGTGAAGTCATGTGACCGTGCTGTAGTTCCTTTTATAGCCCAACATTAGCCACCTTTAGCTTAGCGGTGGTGACGTGAAGTCATGTGACCGTGCTGTAGTTCTTTTATAGCCCAACATTAGCCACCTTTAGCTTAGCGGTGGTGACGTGAAGTCATGTGACCGTGCTGTAGTTCTTTTATAGCCCAACATTAGCCACCTTTAGCTTAGCGGTGGTGAAGTCATGTGACCGTGCTGTAGTTCCTTTATAGCCCAACATTAGCCACCTTTAGCTTAGCGGTGGTGAGGTGAAGTCATGTGACCGTGCTGTAGTTCCTTTATAGCCCAACATTAGCCACCTTTAGCTTAGCGGTGGAGACGTGAAGTCATGTGACCGTGCTGTAGTTCCTTTATAGCCCAACATTAGCCACCTTTAGCTTAGTGGTGGTGACGTGAAGTCATGTGACCGTGCTGTAGTTCCTTTATAGCCTAACATTAGCCTCCTTTAGCTTAGCGGTGGTGACGTGAAGTCATGTGACCGTGCTGTAGTTCCTTTATAGCCCAACATTAGCCTCCTTTAGCTTAGCGGTGGTGACGTGAAGTAATGTGACCGTGCTGTAGTTCCTTTATAGCCCAACTGCTGTTCTCCATGTGTCTGATTGAACTCTCGTCTCTCCACAGAGAGCGGCGTTGGGAGCTAACGTGACTCGGATCACTCTGGAGACTTTCCTGGCCTGGAAGAAGAGGAAAAGGCAGGAGAAGGTGGGAACATGTTTTATATATTTTAAAGAAACATCAGTTAGTTACAAAGTTCTGACCACAGAAGAAGAAATGAGAGCCGTGTTGTTGACGTCCATCTTGTATACGGGCGTCATGTTCTCGAGATCTCATGCTATATCTGATGTGTGTTCATTAGAAAGGGACAATGCAACCTAACAAACTATTAAAACAAAACACACAGAGCAGAGAATGCACTTTTTATGTCGGGATAAAAACTGAAAACAAGTCTTAATATATATTTGTTTTTGCACAATTTAAAATACACAATGTTAAACAAGATTATTATTAAAAAGGTATATGAATTAAACCAGTAGAACGAAATAAACAAAATGAATAAAGGAAATGTGTTAAAGTGAATAATGAATGAAAGGTCATGTGATCCTGAGATGATACAGGTTTTAAGAGTCGTTTATTTAGGTTAAAATAACTTAAATGTTTAAACATTAACGATGTGTTTTAAATCCCATCTTCTCCTCGAACAGATTGAGAAAGCGAGGGAGCAGATGGAGAAGAAGAAGGCCGACTTCAAGGCGGGGAAATCGCTAACGGTGAGTCGGACATCTTGTTTTATGGCGCTTCACATCCCATAATACCTCAGTGGAGCGGAACTAAATCAAACACCTGTGTCTTCAGTGTGCACACCTGTGTTCAGTGTGCACACCTGTGTCTTCAGTGTGCACACCTGTGTCTTCAGTGTGCACACCTGTGTCTTCAGTGTGCACACCTGTGTCTTCAGTGTGCACACCTGTGTCTTCAGTGTGCACACCTGTGTATCCCTTCTGTTGGGTTAGGAGCTAGAGGCTGACTTTGACATTTATTATATTATTATTATTTATTTAATTTTTTGAGAATGTGTTCTGTTTGCTATAAGTGGGGAAACAAGGAGACAAGGGGAGAGTATAGGAGATGGGGGAGTTGAGAGGAAACAAGGAAACAATATTATGGGAGTTGAGAGGAGACATAGGGAGATTATAGGAGACAAGGGGAGTTGAGAGGAAACAAGGAAACAATATTATGGGAGTTGAGAGGAGACATAGGGAGATTATTGGAGACAAGGGGAGTTGAGAGGAAACAAGGAGACACAGGGAGATTATAGGAGACAAGAGGAGTTGAGAGGAAACAAGGAGACACAGGGAGATTATAGGAGACAAGGGGAGTTGAGAGGAGACACAGGGAGATTATAGGAGACAAGGGGAGTTGAGAGGAAACAAGGAGACACAGGGAGATTATAGGAGACAAGAGGAGTTGAGAGGAAACAAGGAGACACAGGGAGATTATAGGAGACAAGGGGAGTTGAGAGGAAACAAGGAGACACAGGGAGATTATAGGAGACAAGGGGAGTTGAGAGGAAACAAGGAGACACAGGGAGATTATAGGAGACAAGGGGAGTTGAGAGGAAACAAGGAGACACAGGGAGATTATAGGAGACAAGGGGAGTTGAGAGGAAACAAGGAGACACAGGGAGATTATAGGAGACCAGGGGAGATGGGGGAGTTGAGAGGAGACAAGAGGAGATTATAGGAGACAAGGGGAGATGGGGGAGTTGAGAGGAGACACAGGGAGATTATAGGAGACAAGGGGAGATTATAGGAGACGAGGGGAGATTATAGGAGACAAGGGGAGATTATAGGAGACAAGAGGAGATTATAGGAGACAAGGGGAGATGGGGGAGTTGAGAGGAGACACAGGGAGATTATAGGAGACAAGGGGAGATTATAGGAGACAAGGGGAGATGGGGAGAGGAAACAAGGAGACACAGGGAGATTATAGGAGACAAGGGGAGATGGGGGAGTTGAGAGGAGACACAGGGAGATTATAGGAGACAAGGGGAGATTATAGGAGACAAGGGGAGATTATAGGAGACAAGGGGAGATGGGGAGTTGAGAGGAAACTTGGGATTAGTGGAACAAAAGCTTCTTGTTGTGAAAATGTAATGAAATGAAACTCCCGTTCTCTGAAGGTGAGCGGACGCGAGGTGTTTGAGTTTCGTCCAGATTTGGTGGACGAAGACGACGATGAAGCCGACGACACTCGATACATCAATGAAGACGATGATGAAGATGAGAACGACATGGAGGAGGTACAGTTACTCACACACTTTGTTCAATCAAACTTTATTTATGGAGTCGTTTCAGACACAAAATGCACAATAAAAACAACAATGATAAAGGGAGTGACCGAAGCATGTGAGAAGACTTCAGGAAAGAACAAGTGCCTCAAAGTTTAACTGAAGTACTTTAACTGAAGTACTTTTACTGAAGTACTTTAACTGAAGTACTTTTACTGAAGTACTTCAGTTATAATACTCTTCTTTTATACAGCTGAGAGTTTCAGTGTTTGCTTTATTCTTTTCAAAGAGAGCAGACGGCGATCAGATCTGCAGATTATACAAGCCTTAACCTGTTCCGCACGGCCCCCCCGGTACCGGGCGGATAAACGCGTCATTTGCAGGAAACAACGTCTAAGGGATCTTAATATTTAATAAACTATGAATGTTTTATATCCATGTAACGGGAAGAAACTCAGCTAACTGATCTTTTTTTTTTTTAAATCCAAAAAAAAAACACAATGCTATCATCATAACATGTGGAGCTAGGTAGCTACAAACGCTAACATGGTTTACCTTGGTCAAAACTGGTCTTCAATGGCATTAAAACGATAAAAAAACGATGCTGAAGTTAATCCATAGGTTCATCCAATGTGTCTGTGTCCTCTTTGAAATGATTTCTGATAATCCATAAGCAATAAAACTGCTTTTTAGTTTCCAAATGCCAGAGCTAGAGATAGGTTCACTCTGCTGCATATTTACATGCGCGAAGCCCCCACCTCTTCTCTTCACAATGTGTGTGTGTGTGGGCCTCCCCCTTCGATTCTATTGGCTCTAATGGTTAGAAAGAGGTGTCAACCATCCAAATCGACCAAGGGGGGCCAGAGATATAGAAAAAAAACATTTTCACCCAAATCACCTCAGAGGTGGGGTGGTTTTGGCTAAACCTCTCTAAAAAGGTCAAATGTCACTTGTTTTGCATCAATCTTGATACAGGGTACTTATTATATGTTGTACTTTGGATTCCTAAAGCTTTTAGTCTACTAACCCATCATCCAAGGGTAGTTTTCACTATCTGTAAAAAATAACTTTTGGACGGACACTATAATTTACAGTTTTTTACTATGTAAAATCTGAATTTTCTTTAAAATAAAAAACATTTATATTGATTCTGACGCTTCTACATCCAACTCACAGATGTAACCTTGCTTTGATAAAAAGAAATTATTCATATAACCCTTTTAGAAGTTAGGTTGTAGTCATTTGTTTTGGGCATGTCATTTTCGAGCCTGAAACATGAAAAACAGGCTTGGTGCTTAACAGGTTAAACTAATAGGAAACAAGACGTGGTGTGTATTCATCCCCTAAATCCACATTAATGGGGTCTTTCAGATTGTGACTGTTTTCTCGTGTGTTAAACTCGTGTCTAAATTGTTTTATTTCAGGATGACTTTGTAGACGTCCAGGACATCGATCTTTCCCGCTTTGTTCCACAAGAAGTCGACCACACCGTGGGAATCACCGTCGCCTCCACGGACCGCTTCTCCTCCAGGAGCAAGGCCCGGCCCACAGACCCAGACTCCGGTGAGGAACACACAGATTTAAGGGATTCAAACCAACAAGAAAACCAGCATTTTCTTTTTTGTAATTCTGGGCGAAAAAGTCAGAATTATATTTTGTTGTACTTTTTGGGGGATTTTTCTAAAAGTCTTGACACCCAAAGTGTGTTTTCTTTAGTAGTTCTGGAATTAAAGTCAGAATTGTGACTTTTTCTGACTGGGAAACAAGTCTGAAAAGTCCAAATTATGACTTTTCACATTAGGCGCGTTCACACCGGAGTACTTTTCACCGTACTTTTCGCGTTTAGTTCCGTTAGTACCCCTTATGTCGCGTTCACACCAAAAAGAGCACTTCATCTCGGGAACTTTTACCCCCATGTTTAGTGCCTGCTGAGAGATGGTACTCTCCTGGGGGAAAAAAGTGCCCCAGTTCTGATTGGCTGGGCGGATTGCAAACCACGCCCCGTACAACTCTGAAATGTTTTGTAGAGCCGCCATTTTATTATCCTCGCATTAGCATTATTAGCATTAGCATTTGCCCAGCGCACAAACGCAGAGAGACTAACTTATGGCAACACAAAATAAAACATGGGAGCGGTGGAGATGAGGAGGTGTCGGCGTTCTGGCGATTTCCTCTGAAGGCTTCAGTAGAAGCTGCTGGGAGTCCCAGCAGCTTCTACTGAAGCCTTCCCCAACTCCGGGGACTTCCGGCCGGGGACTCCGGGTGGCAGTATACGCCGTGAAGTGGTTTGTGGCCTGCCAGTAAACCCAAAGCAGAAGAAGAAGAAGTGACGTCAGCGGCTCATTTGCGTAATCTTCCCTCGGGGAACTTATTCTGGTGTGAACGTGATCTGTACTAAGTGCCCTGGGGTCATAAGTGCCGGCACTAAGTACAGCAAAGTACTTGGTGTGAACGCGGCTATTTTAAATTTGACCAAAAGTGATTTTCTTCTGGGATTAACTTGTTAAGCAGGGTTTAACATTATATAATCAGACAACGTCCGTTAAAAAACATTATAACATATAATGAGAGATGTTCTGCAGTAAGGAGGGGGTTTCACCGTGGCTCTTACTTTTATTTAGTTGACGGAGCATTTTTACTTTCCACGACACTAATCAACTCTTCACTCTGCTTCACTCTTTCGCTAAAGATTCTGAAGATATCTGCGTTCTTGTGACTCGTAAATACCACGCTTCTGATGTTTTGGTGCGGACTGCGTTCACACCAGCGATGAACCGCTCCAGAGTTCACTAGCAAGCGGTCCGAGACCACCTCTTTGAGGGACCAGAGTCCGGTTGTTTAGTTCACTTCAGAGGTCTGCGTTCACACCGACCCAAACGAACCAAGCGGGTAAACGCACCAGGGTTCGATTCAACCGCACGATACAAGGCTGCTGTGAATGTGACCGGAGACGTTTAGTTCTGACTTTTTCGATTTCTTTTGTCAGAATAAAAAAAGACCGTCTCTCCGAGGTGAAACAGGTTAAACATGTGCTTAATGAGCTGCTGTGTAAACTGGCAGACGTTCATTTAGCGTGACAATAATCAGGTTTCTTTCATCAGTAGAGAACGGGTCGAGGGGTTTCTCAGTGATGGGTTAAAGAGAAAGCACTAAACCTGGAGGATAAGTTTTTAAATAACGTCATTGGATGTTTGGGAAGAAACGGAAGAGTTTAGGGTGACGTGTGAAGTTGGGTAATCTGACCTAAAGTCGGGTTGTTTTGTTTGTTCTGGAATAAAAGTCAGAATTATGACTTTTTGGGGACTTTTTATGGACTTTTCAGATTTTTCACATTTGACTAAAAGTGAAGATGGGGGAGAGGAGAGTTGAGAGGAGACAAGGAGAGATGGGGGAGTTGAGAGGAGACAAGGAGAGATGGGGGAGTTGGGGGGAGACAAGGAGAGATGGGGGAGTTGAGAGGAGACATGGAGAGATGGTCGAGTTGAGAGGAATCAAGGAGAGATGGGGGAGTTGAGACGAGACAAGGAGAGATGGGGGAGTTGAGAGGAGACAAGGAGAGATGGGGGAGTTGAGACGAGACAAGGAGAGATGGGGGAGTTGAGAGGAATCAAGGAGAGATGGGGGAGTTGAGACGAGACAAGGAGAGATGGGGGAGTTGAGAGGAGACAAGGAGAGATGGGGGAGTTGAGACGAGACAAGGAGAGATGGGGGAGTTGAGAGGAATCAAGGAGAGATGGGGGAGTTGAGAGGAGACAAGGAGAGATGGGGGAGTTGAGAGGAGACAAGGAGAGATGGGGGAGTTGAGAGGAATCAAGGAGAGATGGGGGAGTTGAGAGGAAACAAGGAGAGATGGGGGAGTTGAGACGAGACAAGGAGAGATGGGGGAGTTGAGAGGAGACAAGGAGAGATGGGGGAGTTGAGAGGAATCAAGGAGAGATGGGGGAGTTGAGAGGAGACAAGGAGAGATGGGGGAGTTGAGACGAGACAAGGAGAGATGGGGGAGTTGAGAGGAATCAAGGAGAGATGGGGGAGTTGAGAGGAGACAAGGAGAGATGGGGGAGTTGAGAGGAGACAAGGAGAGATGGGGGAGTTGAGAGGAATCAAGGAGAGATGGGGGAGTTGAGAGGAAACAAGGAGAGATGGGGGAGTTGAGACGAGACAAGGAGAGATGGGGGAGTTGAGAGGAGACAAGGAGAGATGGGGGAGTTGAGAGGAATCAAGGAGAGATGGGGGAGTTCAGAGGAGACAAGGAAAGATGGGGGAGTTCAGAGGAATCAAGGAGAGATGGGGGAGTTGAGAGGAGACAAGGGGTGTTGAGAGGAGACAAGGGGAGTTGAGAGGAAACAAGCAGAGTTGACAGGAGACAAGGAGAGATGGGGGAGTTGAGAGGAAACAAGGAGAGATGAGAGGAGACAAGGGGAGTTGAGAGGAAACAAGGAGAGATGGGGGAGTTGAGACGAGACAAGGAGAGATGGAGGAGTTGAGAGGAAACAAGGAGAGATGGGGGAGTTGAGAGGAGACAAGGGGTGTTGAGAGGAGACAAGGGGAGTTGAGAGGAAACAAGCAGAGTTGAGAGGAGACAAGGAGAGATGGGGGAGTTGAGAGGAAACAAGGAGAGATGAGAGGAAACAAGGAGAGATGAGAGGAGACAAGGGGAGTTGAGAGGAGACAAGGGGAGTTGAGAGGAGACAAGGAGAGATGGGGGAGTTGAGAGGAAACAAGGGGAGTTGAGAGGAGACAAGGGGAGTTGAGAGGAGACAAGGGGATTTGAGAGGAGACAAGGAGAGTTGAGAGGAGACATGGGGAGTTGAGACAAGGGGAGTTGAAAGGAAACAAGGAGAGATGGGGGAGTTGAGAGGAATCAAGGAGACAAGGAGAGTTGAGAGGAAACAAGGAGACAAGGGGAGATTATAGGAGACTGTGTTTCTGACTCTTCACATGCTCTCTCCACAGAGGAGCTGCTGAACGGAGCCTGCGGCGGGGAAGACGCTAACGGTCTGTCGGAGGAAGAGGAGGAGGAGGAAGAGGAGGAAGAGGAAGTGGAGGAAGTACCGGTGGACGAGAACTTGTTCACAGGAGAAGATCTGGAGGAACTGGACGAAGAACTGAACGAACTGAATCTGGAGGACTGAGAGACACAACGTGAAGGCTGTGGGCCGGAGAGGAACCCCCCAAAGTTTAATGAGATGTAGAGTAGGGGTCTCCAGGACAGAGGACCTGCCGGATGCTGAGCTGCACATGTTGGGCAGTTTGCACAATGACCTCAAGTTGTGTTCGGTAGCATTATTAGCATATTCTAATAGTAGCTGATTGTTTGGAGTGTTTTTGGGGGTTATTGACGATTATTAGGATCAATACCAGAAAGTGGCTTTATTTGTTCTCTCTCTCTGGACTGATTTAGCATTTTATTCAAATATATAACCAATCTGTCCAATTCAAAGGATCCAGAGTCTTCTAATATCTTCAAAATCAGCCTCAAAGTCAGTTATTGAGGATGTTCAGGATCAGAAAGTGTCCACATCTGTCCTCTCTGTGGACTGAGTTAGCAACCATTGGATACAGAGAGCACAACATAATCATTGTTACCTCGACTGTGGACAGTTTTTTTTCAAATAAATAAGCAATCTGTCCAATCCCAATGATCCAGAGTCCCCTTACACTTCAAAAAAATAATCAATATCAGCCAACAGAGTTCAAATATAACTACTTTCTGGTTAGAAATCGACCCCAAAAACACTCAAATTGTCCAAATCTTCCAACTACTAAGCGTATGCCAATGAACACAGCTTATGCTAATTGTGCTAATTCCCCAACATCTGCAGGTTAGCATCCGGCAGCTTCTATGTGTTTCAGACCCTTACTCCACAGGTGTGTCATTGCGCTCTGGGGTCTTCCACGTGTTCACAGCAGGACTCAATGAGCTGCAGACGGACGGATGCATGGCGACAAAGAGACCCGGCGTTTGATTTTAAAACTTCAGAGACTCCAGAAACACAGCCTGATTATCTCATGACATCACTTCCTGTCGCGGCCGACTACTACATCTTTGTTTTCTGTCGGCGTCCAGATATTTCCATTAAAAGCAGAATTTGTGCACTTCTTGTTGCTCGACAAACCTGGCAGTCACACCTTCACCTTCAGATTTTAAATAACGTCAATGGATGATGGAGAAGATACGGAAGAGTTTAGGGTCACGTGGAAAGATTCTTCATCGGGAGGTTTTCGGGGGGGAAAAGTCAGAATTATGATTTGCTTTTCTGGACCTTGTCTCCTATAATCTCTCCTTGTTTCCTCTCAACTCCCCCATCTCCCCTTGTTTCCTCTCAACTCCCCCATCTCCCCTTGTTTCCTCTCAACTCCCCCATCTCCCCTTGTTTCCTCTCAACTCCCCCATCTCCCCTTGTTTCCTCTCAACTCCCCCATCTCCCCTAGTTTCCTCTCAACTCCCCCATCTCCCCTTGTTTCCTCTCAACTCCCCCATCTCCCCTTTTCTCCTATAATATCCCCTTGTTTCCTCTCAACTCCCCCATCTCCCCTTGTCTCCTATAATATCCCTTGTTTCCTCTCAACTCCCCCATCTCCCCTTGTCTCCTATAATATCCCCTTGTTTCCTCTCAACTCCCCCATCTCCCCTTGTCTCCTATAATATCCCCTTGTTTCCTCTCAACTCCCCCATCTCCCCTTGTCTCCTATAATATCCTCTTGTCTCCTCTCAACTATTTTTCAGACTTTTAAAAAACTTTTACTGACTTCTGTTTTACTTTTTCAGAAACTTCTGACACAGAAACAAGTCAGAATTAAGACTTGACACCCAAAGTGTATTTTCTTTAGTTCTGGAAAAATAATGACGTTTTCACTTATAAAATTTGACCCAAAGTGATTTATTTCCTGTGATTTAAGTCGTACGTTTGAATAAAGTCGGACGTTTTTTTCCGACTCTTCAGGATTTTTTTCCCCTCAACTTTTGATCCAATCTCCACACGTGGTCCTCATCCTCTTCCGTACAAATAATAAAGTGTGAGAAATGAACAGGAGTGATTCTGTTGTAAGAAACTGAATCTGTTCATCGGCTCTGAAACCAAAATAAAGATCGTTTCCCTCAAAATAAAACGCGTTTAATTTTAGCTTCAGTTTCAAACTGGTTCATGAAGGAAGAATCCGGGCCGAGCTTCTGATGAATTATTTCCAATGAAATGTAAATAATATTCTCCTGAGTTTCCTCCTGAAGAAATAAAGATATCTGTACATCCAGTGTGTCTCCTTCGATCGCCTCTCACCTGCTGCTCACTGATTGGATCAAACTCACCTGTAGTGCTACTGAAGCTCCTCCCCCTCATTCATACACAGCATTACCACTCGCTCACACTTTTGATTTGATTTATTTCGAACGTGTAATACAATGAAATGAAACAAAATAATTAGATACTTAAAGTGGACATATGCTATATTATAATAATATAGTGTAGGACCATACCTATATAAGGCATATTTATACTTTTTTTTTTTCAAAATACCAAACAGATCATGCATTTTAGCCATGCCTCATTTCGCTCAATTTGACATTTTTTAGCTCTGTTTTTGCAAGGGCTGATTCAGTGAGAACAGCACCACCTACAGGCCTGGCATATGTACTTCAGCGTCTCCAGCGCTTTCGAACGGCAATGGCCGTGGCTGTCTCCTCCTGATTGGTGGAGTTGGCCCAATAGCCGTAGCGCCACCGTCCTGACGTCAGGACAGTGTTCAAATCTGGATCAGTTTTTATCAGATCCGTTGCAGCCCCTTTTTTAGAGATTTGGGTATGGAGGAAAATAGAGAGGGTTGTGTTTTCTGACACTTGGTGAGTTCCCTGGAACACCGGGGACACATATTCATGTAGACAAGACGTACACAAGTGCATTTTGCATGATAGGTCCCCTTTAACTTAAAGGTGGGGTAGGTAAGTTTGAGAAACCAGCTCGAGTGCGCTAGAATTTGAAAATACACAGCCGGAGAAACTCTGCCACTTCCTCACAGAGCCCCTCCTCCAACACACACGAACGCGCACATGACCAATGAGGGCACGAGATAAGTTTGTGCACAGATGGAAGGCTGACAGGCAGGTAGGCCATCCAGTTATTTTAGCCGGGCCGGCTCAGATGATTGGTCGTGCTTTTCACAGTACTACAGCTTCCACAGATGATATTTTTATGGATTTTTTGTCAAAGCACTTCAGATATTCATTGCTATCGGGATGTTAAGAGCATTCCATGGAATATAACAAAAAGTGTATCTCGAGCCGGTTTCTCAAACTTACCTACCCTACCTTTAAGCAGTATCAAATTGGTGTTACAGGTAGATATCTGCTAATTGAATTTTATCAGGGTATATGCAGGAATACTGAAGTCAGATGTAAAACCTTTTAAGACCCTTTCCATACATTTTAAGACCTCATCTCCACTTGGAGTTTTAACCGGTTACCTTGGCGACACACTTTACCTCACATTGACTATATACAGTATTGATTGTCCTTCCTCCTTATCTTCCAACCATTTGGACGCAGACTTGCATTTCCCCATAACCATGTTGTTTAACAACCGGCGTAAACGGACCTTCGCGCTATCAAGCAGTGAGCGTGCGATGTCCTGTTCAGATGACGTCACATCCAACGGGATGCCATAAATAAACTACACAGAATCACACTACACACCTACGCAATGATTACATTCAGGCAGACTGTAGAATACAACCTCTTTGGACAATTTATATACTTATTGGAAACCAGCTACAACATCTAATACCTTGGAAAATGCCCTTTAATACTTTTTAATACTTTTTAATAGCCTTAATTTCGCTAAATTGATTTATCAACTTGTAATACTTTTTAAGACCCCGCGGACACCCTGGGTGTTTCTCAATGTCGAGTAAAGCTGCTTCAGAGCCACTATTTCAAGCACACTACGTCATCGAGTGCCGCCGAAGTACTGTTCCAATCTCCAGTATACTTGGAAATCTACCGAGCCCGGCGTACTCCGTTTGGAGAAATATCGGGTGTTTCTCAATCGCGAGTACGCTTGCTTGGTAGCACATGTCTGCCGAGCATCTTGCTTCAGAAGCGAGTCAAGAATACTTCCTGGCATTCGGAAAACGAAGTGTGGAACACGCTAGCAAGTGTGCAAGTGTGCGTCATATGAGAGGCCCCGCCTCTTACATCTTCCGCCACAGATTTGGGGAAATTGGTCCGTGCGCAAAGCATTGTGGGGATTTTAAGACCGCGGAGTCTACTCATGTGCAGCCTCGATATTTCTCCAAACGGAGTACGCCGGGCTCGGTAGATTTCCACGTATGCTGGAGATTGGAACAGTACTTTGGCGGCACTCGATGACGTAGCATGCTTGAAATAGTGGCTCTGAAGCAGCTTTACTCGCGATTGAGAAACACCCATCAAGGCTGCACATGAGTAGACTCCGGTCTTAAAATCCCCACAATGCTTTGCGCACGGACCAATTTCCCCAAATCTGTGGCGGAAGATGTAAGAGGCGGGGCCTCTCATATGACGCACACCTGCACACTTGCTAGCCTGTTCCACTCTTTGTTTTCCGAATGCCAGGAAGTATTCTTGACTCGCTTCTGAAGCAAGATGCTCGGCAGACATGTGCTACCAAGCAAGCGTACTCGCTATTGAGAAACACCCCCTGTATAGAGAGGCGAAGTCCCGCCCATCTACTTCCGACCCATGGGACCTTATTTCGGAAAAAGTATGCATTATCTTTCGATCCCGTTTGAATTGTGCCACGAATTACACATATGATGTTTGTCAATCTTAAATAATAATTTCCATGTCAAAAAAGTTTGTCGTAAAACTGTTGAAATATAAGACTCTGAAAAATACGCAACTAGAAAGACTACAAATCCCAGAGTCCCGGTCCCGCATGCTGGCTCTTAGGAACCGACTAACTCCCCTTGTGTGTATGTACAGCTCTCAACACGCCCAGACTTGGAGTGATTTTCACCTCGTTTAATACTTTCCGCCTCATTCTGAAAGAAAGAAGTGAAATGTGCCAACGTGACGGCCGTCTGGGTGTGTGGTGCGAGACGGGAGATGGAGTTCATTGAGCGGTTTCACACAAAAAAAAGTGTTACTTCACAATTTTATGACACATTTTTATTTTTGACTTATCTTTTAGATTGACAAACATCATATGTGTAATTCATGGCTCAATTCAAACGGGATCGAAAGATAATCTTTCTCTCTCCATTGACTTCAATACATACTTTTTCTGAAATAAGATCCCGTGGAGCTCCACCGGAAAGGGAGGGACTTCGCCTCTCTATATGTATGCATACTTTAATTATCCAATGTATCCAATTAAAAAAGTGGGAAACCTTGGCATTTATTTATTGGTTTTGCACGATTAAAAAAAAGATATGTGATGAACAGGATCGTCTCTGCCACCGTACTTTTATAATATTCAGAGGAAACTTGACTTGAGCTCAAATTATCCTTAAAAATACCACGATTTAGCAAAAAAGCCCATGATAGAAATCTAAAGGAAGTCAAACAGGAGTCTTTTCAGACAACAGATACACATACAAAATAACACAAACAACAATAATCGTGCAGTAATTCGCCTCCTAAAACCATTGAATAAATGCCAAGATTTCCCACCATTTTAATTGGATACATTGGATAATTAAAGTATGCATACATGTATTTAAATTAGCAGATATCTGTGGGGGAAACGTCTGTGTAGCAATGCAGGAGGAGTCACCGACTCAAAGGAGACACGGGGAGAGCTGGAGCTTTGATGGCAAACACTGATGGGTTTATTTGGAGCTTCGGCCGGAGAGTTCACAAAACAAGTCAAAGTCAAGAGGTTCTGACTTCACGGTAGAGTTACCACGTCAATTCTGAAGAGCTCTACCCCAGACCCGTGTGTTTAGCTAGCTCAGAGAGAATAATCAACATTGATCATAACAAGATAGAATCATAACACGTCTATCAGCTGACGCCAGCAGGCAGGAGCAGGGAGACAGAGCACTGAGAGCACAGCAGCCAAGGCTACAGGTGCGTGCGCTCAGTCAGGACAGTTTGAACTGAAACACTGGGTCAAAGTTATGAGACTAATATCTACCTGGAACACCGCGTTTACCTTCTGCTACAACGGCACAAAAACACCTGCAGATACAGAAATGAAAAACACACAAACCCCAAAAACAAACAGAGAATCGCTGCGTTTGTTTTTCATTTCTGTTGTGTTTGTTTTCAGGGTTTGTGTGTTTTTCATTTCTGTATTTGCAGGTTTTTACATGCTTCTGAGCCGTTGTAGCAGAAGGTAAACGCGGCGTTACAGGTAGATTATCTGCTAATTTAATAACATGTATGCATACTTTAATTATCCAACGACATCTAATTAAAATTGTGGGAAATCTCGTCATTTATTTAATGGTTTTGCACAATTTATAACAAGAGATATCTAATGAACAGTGCATTTTGAGCCGTGTTGAACCATCTGGGCCACCGTACATTCATAATATTCAGACGAAACTTGACTATTATTCTTAAAAATAACACGATTTAGCAAAAAAGCTCATGATAGAAATCTAAACGGAGTGAAACAGGACCCTCTTCAGACAACAGGTACACATAAACAATAACAACAACAATAATTGATCAGGAAACAGAGGAGACGGGAGGAGTTGATGAACTGATGTTTATTTCTCACTGAGAGGAAAACACAGATTACAGTCAGTCTGGAAAACACCTGGAGTCTCAACAAGGTGAGAGAAACTAAAAGAACTGAAACTCAGTGGAAAATATCTAAAGAAAGTCAGACTGCAGCTCTCAGTAAAGGTCGGGTCAGACGGGGTCAAAGGTCAGAGGTCGAGGCAGGTCACGTGTCTTTGTGTCATGACAGTAGCCTAGGGAACAAGAAGCTGAAGAGTTAATCAAGAGGAGAGAAACAGCCTGAAGTACAAGTTAGAGGTACTTGAGTATTACTGTGTACTTCTACTCCACTACATGTATTTAATACCTTTAGTTACTTTACAGATCTGGATTAACACTTTCATGATCAATCATTATAAAACATATCATATATATTATTCTGAAATGGACCAATCTGCACAATGACTACTTTTACTGTCGCTACTTTCACTATATTTTGATGATAATACTTTTATACTTTCACTTGAGGAACATTTTGAATGCAGGACTTTTACTGAAACAGAGTATTCCTACACTCTGGTACTTCTACTTTTACTCAAGTACAAGATCTGAGTACTTCTACTTTTACTCAAGTACAACATCTGAGTACTTCTACTTTTACTCAAGTACAACATCTGAGTACTTCTACTTTTACTCAAGTACAAGATCTGAGTACTTCTACTTTTACTCAAGTACAAGACCTGAGTACTTCTACTTTTACTCAAGAACAAGATCTGAGTACTTCTACTTTTACTCAAGTACAAGATCTGAGTACTTCTACTTTTACTCAAGTACAAGATCTGAGTACTTCTACTTTTACTCAAGTACAAGATCTGAGTACTTCTACTTTTACTCAAATACAAGATCTGAGTACTTCTACTTTTACTCAAGTACAAGATCCGAGTACTTCTACTTTTACTCAAGTACAAGACCTGAGTACTTCTACTTTTACTCAAGTACAAGATCTGAGTACTTTTACTTTTGCTGAATATAAACATAGCTAGTCAGTTGTGATGAAGCCCCTCGTTCCTCTGTGACTCAAATCTCAGGATTTCTGGGACGTTTTCCCCCCAAATGTTCCTCTATAGAGATGAACGTTGTAGTTTACAGTATAGTACCTGGTTGTAGTTTACAGTATAGTACCCGGTTGTAGTTTCAGTATAGTACCGGGTTGTAGTTTACAGTATAGTACCGGGTTGTAGTTTACAGTATAGTACCGGGTTGTAGTTTAGAGTATAGTACCCGGTTGTAGTTTAAAGTATAGTACCGGGTTGTAGTTTAAAGTATAGTACCGGGTTGTAGTTTGGTTGTAGTTTACAGTATAGTACCTGGTTGTAGTTTACAGTATAGTACCGGGTTGTAGTTTACAGTATAGTACCCGGTTGTAGTTTAGATTATAGTACCTGGTTGTAGTTTACAGTATAGTACCAAGTTGTAGTTTAGAGTATAGTACCCGGTTGTAGTTTACAGTATAGTACCAAGTTGTAGTTTACAGTATAGTACCTGGTTGTAGTTTACAGTATAGTACCTGGTTGTAGTTTGGTTGTAGTTTACAGTATAGTACCTGGTTGTAGTTTACAGTATAGTACCGGGTTGTAGTTTAGATTATAGTACCTGGTTGTAGTTTACAGTATAGTACCAAGTTGTAGTTTAGAGTATAGTACCTGGTTGTAGTTTACAGTATAGTACCAAGTTGTAGTTTACAGTATAGTACCGGGTTGTAGTTTACAGTATAGTACCTGGTTGTAGTTTGGTTGTAGTTTACAGTATAGTACCTGGTTGTAGTTTACAGTATAGTACCGGGTTGTAGTTTACAGTATAGTACCAAGTTGTAGTTTCAGTATAGTACCCGGTTGTAGTTTAGAGTATAGTACCCGGTTGTAGTTTAGATTATAGTACCTGGTTGTAGTTTACAGTATAGTACCAAGTTGTAGTTTACAGTATAGTACCAAGTTGTAGTTTCAGTATAGTACCCGGTTGTAGTTTCAGTATAGTACCCGGTTGTAGTTTAGATTATAGTACCTGGTTGTAGTTTACAGTATAGTACCTGGTTGTAGTTTGGTTGTAGTTTACAGTATAGTACCGGGTTGTAGTTTACAGTATAATACCTGGTTGTAGTTTACAGTATAGTACCTAGGTGTAGTTTACAGTATAATACCTGGTTGTAGTTTACAGTATAGTACCTGGTTGTAGTTTGGTTGTAGTTTACAGTATAGTACCGGGTTGTAGTTTACAGTATAATACCTGGTTGTAGTTTACAGTATAGTACCTAGGTGTAGTTTACAGTATAGTACCCGGTTGTAGTTTACAGTATAATACCTGGTTGTAGTTTACAGTATAGTACCTGGTTGTAGTTTGGTTGTAGTTTACAGTATAGTACCGGGTTGTAGTTTACAGTATAGTACCTAGGTGTAGTTTACAGTATAGTACCCGGTTGTAGTTTACAGTATAATACCTGGTTGTAGTTTACAGTATAGTACCTAGGTGTAGTTTACAGTATAATACCTGGTTGTAGTTTACAGTATAGTACCGGGTTGTAGTTTACAGTATAGTACCGGGTTGTAGTTTACAGTATAATACCTGGTTGTAGTTTACAGTATAGTACCTAGGTGTAGTTTACAGTATAGTACCCGGTTGTAGTTTACAGTATAATACCTGGTTGTAGTTTCAGTATAGTACCCGGTTTGTTGGTTGTAGTTACAGTATAGTACCGGTTGTAGTTTACAGTATAATACCTGGTTGTAGTTTTACAGTAATAGTACCTAGGTGTAGGTTTACAGTATAGTATCCGGTTGTAGTTTGACAGTATAATACCTGGTTTGTAGTTTACCGTAGAATACCTGGTTGTAGTTTACAGTATAGTACCTAGGTGTAGTTTTACAGTATAGTACCCGGTTGTAGTTTACAGTATAAACCTGGTTGTAGTTTACAGTATAGTACCTAGGTGTAGTTTTACAGTATAGTACCCCCGGTTGTAGTTTACAGATAAATACCTGGTTGTAGTTTTACAGTATAATACCTAGGTGTAGTTTACAGTATAGTACCTAGGTGTAGTTTACAGTATAGTACCGGGTTGTAGTTTAGAGTATAGTACCCGGTTGTAGTTTAGATTATAGTACCTGGTTGTAGTTTACAGTATAGTACCTGGTTGTAGTTTGGTTGTAGTTTACAGTATAGTACCGGGTTGTAGTTTACAGTATAGTACCTGGTTGTAGTTTACAGTATAGTACCAAGTTGTAGTTTACAGTATAGTACCGGGTTGTAGTTTACAGTATAGTACCCGGTTGTAGTTTAGATTATAGTACCTGGTTGTAGTTTACAGTATAGTACCTGGTTGTAGTTTGGTTGTAGTTTACAGTATAGTACCCGGTTGTAGTTTACAGTATAATACCTGGTTGTAGTTTGGTTGTAGTTTACAGTATAGTACCTGGTTGTAGTTTGGTTGTAGTTTACAGTATAGTACCTGGTTGTAGTTTGGTTGCAGTTTACAGTATAGTACCTGGTTGTAGTTTGGTTGTAGTTTACAGTATAATACCTGGTTGTAGTTTACAGTATAGTACCTGGTTGTAGTTTACAGTATAGTACCTAGGTGTAGTTTACAGTATAGTACCTGGTTGTAGTTTACAGTATAATAACTGGTTGTAGTTTACAGTATAGTACCTGGTTGTAGTTTACAGTATAGTACCTAGGTGTAGTTTACAGTATAGTACCTAGGTGTAGTTTACAGTATAGTACCCGGTTGTAGTTTACAGTATAGTACCTGGTTGTAGTTTACAGTATAGTACCGGGTTGTAGTTTACAGTATAGTACCGGGTTGTAGTTTACAGTATAGTACCGGGTTGTAGTTTACAGTATAGTACCTGTTTGTAGTTTACAGTATAGTACCGGGTTGTAGTTTACAGTATAGTACCGGGTTGTAGTTTAGAGTATAGTACCGGGTTGTAGTTTACAGTATAGTACCGGGTTGTAGTTTAGAGTATAGTACCGGGTTGTAGTTTACAGTATAGTACCCGGTTGTAGTTTCAGTATAGTACCGGGTTGTAGTTTACAGTATAGTACCGGGTTGTAGTTTAGAGTATAGTACCGGGTTGTAGTTTACAGTATAGTACCCGGTTGTAGTTTCAGTATAGTACCGGGTTGTAGTTTACAGTATAGTACCGGGTTGTAGTTTACAGTATAGTACCGGGTTGTAGTTTAGAGTATAGTACCCGGTTGTAGTTTAAAGTATAGTACCGGGTTGTAGTTTAAAGTATAGTACCGGGTTGTAGTTTGGTTGTAGTTTACAGTATAGTACCTGGTTGTAGTTTACAGTATAGTACCGGGTTGTAGTTTACAGTATAGTACCCGGTTGTAGTTTAGATTATAGTACCTGGTTGTAGTTTACAGTATAGTACCAAGTTGTAGTTTAGAGTATAGTACCCGGTTGTAGTTTACAGTATAGTACCAAGTTGTAGTTTAGAGTATAGTACCTGGTTGTAGTTTACAGTATAGTACCTGGTTGTAGTTTACAGTATAGTACCTGGTTGTAGTTTGGTTGTAGTTTACAGTATAGTACCTGGTTGTAGTTTACAGTATAGTACCGGGTTGTAGTTTAGATTATAGTACCTGGTTGTAGTTTACAGTATAGTACCAAGTTGTAGTTTAGAGTATAGTACCCGGTTGTAGTTTAGAGTATAGTACCTGGTTGTAGTTTACAGTATAGTACCAAGTTGTAGTTTCAGTATAGTACCCGGTTGTAGTTTCAGTATAGTACCCGGTTGTAGTTTAGATTATAGTACCTGGTTGTAGTTTACAGTATAGTACCAAGTTGTAGTTTACAGTATAGTACCAAGTTGTAGTTTCAGTATAGTACCCGGTTGTAGTTTAGAGTATAGTACCCGGTTGTAGTTTAGATTATAGTACCTGTTTGTAGTTTACAGTATAGTAACTGGTTGTAGTTTGGTTGTAGTTTACAGTATAGTACCGGGTTGTAGTTTACAGTATAATACCTGGTTGTAGTTTACAGTATAGTACCTAGGTGTAGTTTACAGTATAATACCTGGTTGTAGTTTACAGTATAGTACCTGGTTGTAGTTTGGTTGTAGTTTACAGTATAGTACCGGGTTGTAGTTTACAGTATAATACCTGGTTGTAGTTTACAGTATAGTACCTAGGTGTAGTTTACAGTATAGTACCCGGTTGTAGTTTACAGTATAATACCTGGTTGTAGTTTACAGTATAGTACCTGGTTGTAGTTTGGTTGTAGTTTACAGTATAGTACCGGGTTGTAGTTTACAGTATAATACCTGGTTGTAGTTTACAGTATAGTACCTAGGTGTAGTTTACAGTATAGTACCCGGTTGTAGTTTACAGTATAGTACCCGGTTGTAGTTTACAGTATAATACCTGGTTGTAGTTTACAGTATAGTACCTGGTTGTAGTTTGGTTGTAGTTTACAGTATAGTACCGGGTTGTAGTTTACAGTATAATACCTGGTTGTAGTTTACAGTATAGTACCTGGTTGTAGTTTACAGTATAGTACCCGGTTGTAGTTTACAGTATAATACCTGGTTGTAGTTTACAGTATAGTACCTAGGTGTAGTTTACAGTATAGTACCCGGTTGTAGTTTACAGTATAATACCTGGTTGTAGTTTACAGTATAGTACCTAGGTGTAGTTTACAGTATAGTACCCGGTTGTAGTTTACAGTATAATACCTGGTTGTAGTTTACAGTATAATACCTAGGTGTAGTTTACAGTATAGTACCTAGGTGTAGTTTACAGTATAGTACCGGGTTGTAGTTTAGAGTATAGTACCCGGTTGTAGTTTAGATTATAGTACCTGGTTGTAGTTTACAGTATAGTACCTGGTTGTAGTTTACAGTATAGTACCGGGTTGTAGTTTACAGTATAGTACCTGGTTGTAGTTTACAGTATAGTACCAAGTTGTAGTTTACAGTATAGTACCGGGTTGTAGTTTAGAGTATAGTACCCGGTTGTAGTTTAGATTATAGTACCTGGTTGTAGTTTACAGTATAGTACCTGGTTGTAGTTTGGTTGTAGTTTACAGTATAGTACCGGGTTGTAGTTTACAGTATAGTACCCGGTTGTAGTTTACAGTATAATACCTGGTTGTAGTTTGGTTGTAGTTTACAGTATAGTACCTGGTTGTAGTTTGGTTGTAGTTTACAGTATAATACCTGGTTGTAGTTTACAGTATAGTACCTAGGTGTAGTTTACAGTATAGTACCTGGTTGTAGTTTACAGTATAGTACCGGGTTGTAGTTTACAGTATAGTACCCGGTTGTAGTTTACAGTATAATACCTGGTTGTAGTTTGGTTGTAGTTTACAGTATAGTACCTGGTTGTAGTTTACAGTATAGTACCTGGTTGTAGTTTACAGTATAATACCTGGTTGTAGTTTACAGTATAGTACCTAGGTGTAGTTTACAGTATAGTACCTGGTTGTAGTTTACAGTATAGTACCGGGTTGTAGTTTACAGTATAGTACCTGGTTGTAGTTTACAGTATAGTACCAAGTTGTAGTTTACAGTATAGTACCGGGTTGTAGTTTAGAGTATAGTACCCGGTTGTAGTTTAGATTATAGTACCTGGTTGTAGTTTACAGTATAGTACCTGGTTGTAGTTTGGTTGTAGTTTACAGTATAGTACCGGGTTGTAGTTTACAGTATAGTACCCGGTTGTAGTTTACAGTATAATACCTGGTTGTAGTTTGGTTGTAGTTTACAGTATAGTACCTGGTTGTAGTTTGGTTGTAGTTTACAGTATAGTACCTGGTTGTAGTTTGGTTGTAGTTTACAGTATAATACCTGGTTGTAGTTTACAGTATAGTACCTAGGTGTAGTTTACAGTATAGTACCTGGTTGTAGTTTACAGTATAGTACCGGGTTGTAGTTTACAGTATAGTACCCGGTTGTAGTTTACAGTATAATACCTGGTTGTAGTTTGGTTGTAGTTTACAGTATAGTACCTGGTTGTAGTTTACAGTATAATACCTGGTTGTAGTTTACAGTATAGTACCTAGGTGTAGTTTACAGTATAGTACCTAGGTGTAGTTTACAGTATAGTACCTGGTTGTAGTTTACAGTATAATACCTGGTTGTAGTTTACAGTATAGTACCTAGGTGTAGTTTACAGTATAGTACCTGGTTGTAGTTTACAGTATAATACCTGGTTGTAGTTTACAGTATAGTACCTAGGTGTAGTTTACAGTATAGTACCTAGGTGTAGTTTACAGTATAGTACCCGGTTGTAGTTTACAGTATAATACCTGGTTGTAGTTTACAGTATAGTACCCGGTTGTAGTTTACTGTATAGTACCTAGGTGTAGTTTACAGTATAGTACCTGGTTGTAGTTTACAGTATAATACCTGGTTGTAGTTTACAGTATAATACCTGGTTGTAGTTTACAGTATAGTACATGCTAGTAGTTTACAGTATAGTACCTGGTTGTAGTTTACAGTATAATGGTTGTAGTTTACAGTATAATGGGTGTAGTTTACAGTATAGTACATGCTAGTAGTTTACAGTATAGTACCTGGTTGTAGTTTACAGTATAATGGTTGTAGTTTACAGTATAGTACATGCTAGTAGTTTACAGTATAGTACATGCTAGTAGTTTACAGTATAGTACATGTTTTTATATACACTCTGGGCACTCACCGTCTCCCTCAGTATGTTCGGGGCCGTTTGTGTGATTCTTCTCTGGGAGGGTCAGCGAGCATCACCTTCAGCTTCACTCCATTCACGATCCGACCGTGAAGCGCCGCCAGAGCATCGTCTGCACACTGAGAGAGAGAGAGAGAGAGGGACATGAGACTTCCTGTTGTTATTTACCTCTATCCACCCCTCCATCTTTGTTTCCTTTCACCACTCCCTCCAGGTTGTTTTTATCGCTAACCCGAGGTGAAGCTAAAGCTGTAAACAAGGCGATTTGCTTCCTTCTTCTCATACCTCATTGTCTCAAGTTCCTCACCTGTTTGTCTGCGTACTTCATGTATCCCACCTTCCTCAGAGGAACCAGATGAACCTCGATCAGGGATCCAAAGCGGCTGCAGAGACAAAGACGTTAGGAAAATGCTGATGGTTTAGTTTCTACTAGCAGCATTGCTAACGTTTAGCAGCACTTTACTCAGAGACAGTTTCATCCCACCTGAACACTGAAGAGCATCCATCTGTTTGCATCTGGCTAATTATTGATCTATATATCTTTCTATTTACTCTCAAACATTCCCTTGCACTATTTTATCTGTTTTATGTCCTCTATATATATATATATATATATATATATATATATATATATATATATATATATATATATATATATTCATGATGCTCTTTTGGAGGATTTTAAGATTTTCTGAAAAAAGTAAGAATTTATGAAAAATGACCGCATTTATCTTTTATTTGATTTATCTTGAATTTAATTATCTCCCTGTTGTTATAATAAAGTAAAGTAAGCGTCTCCAGAAGACGTCCTCCAGAACCTCACCACGCTAAGCTAAAGGTGGTGTAGTGTGTGTTGTGTCTTGAGGTGTGTTGTAGTGTGTGTTGTGTCTTGAGGTGTGTTGTGTTGAGGTGTGTGTTGTGTCTTGAGGTGTGTGTTGTGTGTTGTAGTGTGTGTTGTGTGTTGTAGTGTTGTGTCTTGAGGTGTGTGTTGTGTGTTGTAGTGTGTGTTGTAGTGTGTGTTGTGTGTTGTTGTGTTGTGTCTTGAGGTGTGTGTTGTGTGTTGTAGTGTGTGTTGTGTGTTGTGTGTTGTGTGTTGTGTGTGTGTGTTGTTGTGTGTGTGTCTTGAGGTGTGTGTTGTGTGTTGTAGTGTGTGTTTTGTAGTGTGGTGTGTGTTGTGTGTTGTTGTGTTGTGTCTTGAGGTGTGTGTTGTGTGTTGTGGTGTGGTGTGGTGTGTCTTGAGGTGTGTGGTGTGTGTTGAGGTGTGGTGTGGTGTGTCTTGAGGTGTGTGGTGTGCGTTGAGGTGTGTTGTAATGTGTGTTGACTTGTTGTAATAAAGTAAAGTAAGCGTCACCAGAAGACGTCCCCTCCAAGCAACGTCGTGGGGCAGCGGCGAGGGGCTGAACACCACGAACAGACGCTCCTTGGCTTTGGTGTCGGGGGGGAACAGCTTCTTCAGGGGGGGGAGGCTCACGTCCGTCTGGATCCTCGGCAGGTTGGAGACGGGGGGGTAACTCTGCAGGAGACAGTGTGTTGTGTCATAGAAGCTTCCAATGAAGAATAAAGCGAGTCTAGTCCAAACTGAACGTTTATTGACTTTATATTAAAGTAACCGTTTCCAACAAGAACGGTAGAAGACGGGGAAAATGCACTCGACATACTCGTATTCATTTCAAAACATAACAGGAAAGAGAAAGAGCAGGATACATACTTGCACGTCAAAATAAAAGCATTTCCTGTCAAACATTTTACCTAGTCCACAGAAATCTTCTTAAACCTGTACTAAAAGTCATCTTAATGGTCTTAAAGAACTCACAGGCGGGGGGGGTTTCATCCCTTGTTGGTTGTTGGAGGGTCCGTTCCACGCTGATGACATCATCTGAGTCGCCACGAACTGCATCGCCATGCGGCCTACGGGACTACACACACACACACACATTAATACTCACATAGCATACTAAGTGTGTGTGTGTGTGTGTGTGTGTGTGTGTGTGTGTACCTGCTACGGTCCTCTCCATCGTCAACATAACTGACTCCAAGTCTGTTTCCAGGCGGGAATTCGAATCCGTTCAGCTTGTCTTTGGCGTAAACAGCTGATCCGAGGTTACTGTAGCGAATCAGAGCGTGACCTGAGGAGACACCTGATTGGTTGAGCATCATCACATGACCAAAGTACAAAAACTCGGCTTGATAATTGTTCTATTAATATAAAGTGAGGTCGAGTTAATCTATAAAACATTTGGTACTCTAGTTACGGGTACTTTTTACTTGAGTACATCAAACTTTTTTTTTTAGTCAACTTGTTTTTTGTCAACTTTTTTTTCCTCTGACGCTGTATCCAGTTCTTATTATACATGCGTGTATTTAACCAACCTTTGCTGAGTCCGTAGGCGTCTCTCTGCAGTTCACAGTACTCCATTCCTGGGATGAGGTCAAAAAGAGCGAAGATCTGTTCCTGAGTGAGGGCGGCTCGCGTGGAAACCATCAGGCAGCGAGTAAAATCTCCAGAACGATAATCAATCTGCTGATAATTTACGGGCTCCGGTGCTGAAGAGAGGGGAGAAACAACACGGTCACATGACGTCACTAAACGAGGCTAACATTAGGCTATAAAGGAACTACAGCACGGTCACATGACTTCACGTCACCACCGCTAAAGGAGGCTAATGTTGGGCTATAGAGGAACTACAGCACGGTCACATGACTTCACGTCACCACCGCTAAGCTAAAGGTGGCTAATGTTGGGCTATAATGGAACTACAGCACGGTCACATGACTTCACGTCACCACCGCTAAGCTAAAGGTGGCTAATGTTGGGCTATAATGGAACTACAGCACGGTCACATGACTTCACGTCACCACCGCTAAGCTAAAGGTGGCTAATGTTGGGCTATAAAGGAACTACAGCACGGTCACATGACTTCACGTCACCACCGCTAAGCTAAAGGAGGCTAATGTTGGGCTATAAAGGAACTACAGCACGGTCACATGACTTCACGTCACCACCGCTAAGCTAAAGGAGGCTAATGTTGGGCTATAAAGGAACTACAGCATGGTCACATGACTTCACGTCTCCACCGCTAAGCTAAAGGTGGCTAATGTTGGGCTATAAAGGAACTACAGCACGGTCACATGACTTCACGTCACCACCGCTAAGCTAAAGGTGGCTAATGTTGGGCTATAAAGGAACTACAGCACGGTCACATGACTTCACATCACCACCGCTAAGCTAAAGGTGGCTAATGTTGGGCTATAAAGGAACTACAGCACGGTCACATGACTTCACGTCACCACCGCTAAGCTAAAGGTGGCTAATGTTGGGCTATAAAGGAACTACAGCACGGTCACATGACTTCACGTCACCACCGCTAAGCTAAAGGTGGCTAATGTTGGGCTATAAAGGAACTACAGCACGGTCACATGACTTCATGTCACCACCGCTAAGCTAAAGGTGGCTAATGTTGGGCTATAAAGGAACTACAGCACGGTCACATGACTTCACATCACCACCGCTAAGCAAAAAGGCGGCTAATGTTGAGTGTGATGACGCTTAGTCGTCTCATTTAGACACTTGTTAGCAACCGTTAAAGCATCTTCAGCTTGTGTTAACCACAGGATAACAAACAAAAACACATTCAGAAAACCATTAACTTCCAAAATGTGAAACCAGTACCTACCCATGGGGAAGGCGTACTGGTTTGTGGAGTCTTGGGGACCTCCTCCTCCTCCTCCTCCTCCTCCTCCCCCCCCCCCTCCTCCTCCTCCTCCGGAGTAATCTCCTCTGGGCGCCCCTCCAGAATATTCCTCCGTCACGTTGGCTTTAGAGCGAGGCTCAGCCAGGATCGCCCTGTAACCTGAAAACAAGGTTCAAGACTGTTATCATCATGTGTACATAGCTACAGTGTAGAGATATCAATGGAAACCTGAGGTCACAGGCTCCTCCATCAGAGCAACACAATACAACTGATAAACTAGTGCAAGTAAATACAAATAAAATAGAATAGAAATAGTGCAAGAATCATTTAATTTAGTAACAATGTCGAATATTCAGTTAACTGTATGTCAAGCAAGTATTAAAGGTCTCTTATTATGCTATTTTTAGACATATATGATGGGTCTCAGATATATACAGATCAGTTTTGCTCAAAATACATAACAAACTCATGCATTTTAGAAATCCCCTCATACCCCTTTATTTCAGCCCTGATACTAAAGTGCTGATTCTGGGTCTAAAGCTTTAGAAAAGCCCCCGTTTTTAGAGATGTGGGTACGGAGGGTTTTATTTTCTGACACTTTGTGAGTCTCCTGACACCGGGGACACATGTTGATGAATAAAAGACATCAAAAAGTGCATTTTGCATGATAGGAGACCTTTAAAGTATAAACTACAGTCACTAGTCAAATATATCTTAACCGCATTTTACTTTTGTCGCAGTTTTCTATAGCGAAGGCGGCCTGGGAGGGTTTGTAGTATCTGACGTATCCGAGGCCTTTACTCTCCCCGGTGAACTTGTTCTTGATGATCACACAGTACTCAATATCTCCGTACTCCTGGAAGAGAAGCAGATAAACACAGAGATTAGGATAAAATAAGGTTAAGGTAAGGTAATGGTGAATGAAAGATGTGAGTGTTTACCTTGAAGGTGTCTTTCAGGTCCTCCTCTGAGAAGGTTTTGGGGATCATGACGAAGATCCTGGTCAGCTCTTCATCCTCCACGTCTCGGTGTCTGTTTGAGGAGCGACTCTGAGCGATAAACACCTGAACAAGAGAGGAGAACATTTATAAATACAGGTTAATTAAACATTCAGGAACAAAACATCTGTAATTATAGTTTAATGAGGCGTGAAAGGTGTGGAAACTAACCCTTGACTTTTCAGATATTCAGGATGTATATTTTACCTGGTTAGATTTACTCTATTGATCCCAAACCTGGAAACTATTTTTGATACAACAGCATGTTAACAAAGCACATATACTAAAATATATATTATATTATATTATTTACTTTGATAAGTTTTGTTCCCTCCACCAGGACCTTCCCGTGCTTCTCCTCCATGTATTATATGTATATACAGTATATTACAGTATTATATTACCTCGATATGTTGAGTACCCTCCTCTGCTTCTCCTCCGTGTATTATTGTATAAGATATATTAAAGTATATTATATTGTATTATTTACCTTAATAAGTTTTGTTCCCTCCACCAGGACCTTCACGTGCATCTCCTCCATGAGTTATATGTATATACAGTATGTTATAGTATATATATTATATTGTATTATTTACCTTGATAGGTTTAGTTCCCTCATCTGCTTCTCCTCCGTGTATTATGATATATATAATATTACAGTATATATATTATGTACCTTAATAGGTTTTGTTCCCTCCACCAGGACCTTCCTGTGCATCTCCTCCATGAGTTATATGTATATACAGTATATATATGTTATAGTATATATATTATATTGTATTATTTACCTTGATAGGTTTAGTTCCCTCATCTGCTTCTCCTCCGTGTATTATGATATATATAATATTACAGTATATATATTATTTACCTTAATAGGTTTTGTTCCCTCCACCAGGACCTTCCCGTGCATCTCCTCCATGGCGGTGCAGGCCTGTGACGACTTGCTGAATTTAACGTAAGAAATCCCTTTGGACTCCTTTGTCTGTTTATCTTTCACCACCCAGACGCCCTGAACGTCCCCGAAAACAGCGAAGCTTTCCCGCAGCTGCTCCTCCGTCAGGGAGCGGCTGGTGACGGCGAACAGCCGGCTGTTGGGCGGGTCGTCCAGGTTCTCCTGTTTGGCGGGTAGGTCCTCCATCTTTGATGCAAACTGGAAGCTAGGCTAGTGACGACCAAGCCCCCAGGAAGTGCGCCGGACTCTGATGAAAATATTCGTGCTGGCCAAACGGCGGTACTACACTTCCTTTTGGTTGCCAGGCCCGGAAACACTTTTTCCCATTGACTTACATGGGGAAAGAGTGGTCTGTAAATCGTTGGATAATTTTTTTTAAACTAAATAAACTACCCAGTATGAACACTTGTATAGCCCTTATTAAAAACATTCGTTCCTCAAGTTGTAAAATGTGCTAATAACGTTATTCTGAGAGTTATTTCCCTCTGCATTATGAACGCGCATCTAACCCACGGGACCGCGCCGCCCGGCACGTTCATGTTACGTGTTCAGCACTACATGCGTTTATCTTTACCCATGGATGCACAATAAGAACGGACCCATATCATGGATGTATAATAAGAACTGGATACAGCGTGGGAGGCGGGGCCTCATTCATTCCTATGAGAGTTGCTCATTCGCGCATGATGATAAAATGGCCCAACTTTTGAGAGAGCGAAACGTCACAGATTACCCGGCATGCCTGAGAAGTACCCGTATGTGCGCTCATAGCGCATGCGCAACTTTAACCATGCCCCCCAAAATGCTCGTTCACATCAAGCACGTCAATTTGCGTACACGTAACAGCACCGCACGTTCATGACAGCATGGTAATGTTTGTTATGATAGATTTGATATTAACGAGGCGGCAGTTAGCAGCTAGCGGTTAGCTAGTAATTATGCTAATTTACACATCAATCGTTATGTACTTTTATATTACGCTGTAACAGGATCTAGTGATATCCAAGCAACAGAGCTTCATTTAGCATGAAAGAATTATTGCACTGTATATATATATATATATATATATATATATACACACAGTGCAATAAGCTTCTTAGTGCAATAAGAAGCTACAGGGACGTTAATCTACGTCGGTAATATTAACTTTATTTAATACAACATTTACGGTACAAGATTTAATCATACAGCCCATGTAGTATAATATGTTATAAATGATGAATTACAGCAAACATGTGCAATATATCCATTATTACAGCTCCGTGGGCTGGCAGTAAGGCGATATGGGTCCGTTCTTATTGTGCATCCATGGGTAAAGATAAACGCATGTAGTGCTGAACACGTAACATGAACGTGCCGGGCGGCGCGGTCCCGTGGGTTAGATGCGCGTTCATAATGCAGAGGGAAATAACTCTCAGAATAACGTTATTAGCACATTTTACAACTTGAGGAACGAATGTTTTTAATAAGGGCTATACAAGTGTTCATACTGGGTAGTTTATTTAGTTTAAAAAAAATTATCCAACGATTTACAGACCACTCTTTCCCCATGTAAGTCAATGGGAAAAAGTGTTTCCGGGCCTGGCAACCAAAAGGAAGTGTAGTACCGCCGTTTGGCCAGCACGAATATTTTCATCAGAGTCCGGCGCACTTCCTGGGGGCTTGACCCATATCGCCTTACTGCCAGCCCACGGAGCTGTAATAATGGATATATTGCACATGTTTGCTGTAATTCATCATTTATAACATATTATACTACATGGGCTGTATGATTAAATCTTGTACCGTAAATGTTGTATTAAATAAAGTTAATATTACCGACGTAGATTAACGTCCCTGTAGCTTCTTATTGCACTAAGAAGCTTATTGCACTGTGTGTATATATATATATATATATATATATATATATACAGTGCAATAATTCTTTCATGCTAAATGAAGCTCTGTTGCTTGGATATCACTAGATCCTGTTACAGCGTAATATAAAAGTACATAACGATTGATGTGTAAATTAGCATAATTACTAGCTAACCGCTAGCTGCTAACTGCCGCCTCGTTAATATCAAATCTATCATAACAAACATTACCATGCTGTCATGAACGTGCGGTGCTGTTACGTGTACGCAAATTGACGTGCTTGATGTGAACGAGCATTTTGGGGGGCATGGTTAAAGTTGCGCATGCGCTATGAGCGCACATACGGGTACTTCTCAGGCATGCCGGGTAATCTGTGACGTTTCGCTCTCTCAAAAGTTGGGCCATTTTATCATCATGCGCGAATGAGCAACTCTCATAGGAATGAATGAGGCCCCGCCTCCCACGCTGTATCCAGTTCTTATTATACTTTTTTTTTTTTTTTTTTTTTTTTTTTTTTTTTTTTTTTTTTTTTTTTTTTTTTTTTTTATTGAACATTTTTTTAAACATACAAAAGCTCGGTGAGGATATCATCAACTTATCAACATAAGTTCAAGACATTCATTCACAATAAGACAAAAAAACATAACTAATACATCCAGTAAGAGCCAGGGGGAAAGAAAAAAGCATAAAGGCACAAAAACATTTAAGAGGCATTAAGCTTACTTAAAATAATAACCATTTGGAAATGTCATTGCAAATCTTTATAGACAGGTTACAAGATTGTATTTTTCTAAGGGACAGAAAAAAGGACTTGAACTCATTTATGAAACAGGGAAAGGAGGGCTTGCCTCCTCTCCATTTACTACAATGTAAATGGTATTTACCCAAAATAATAATTATATTTACCAAATCAGAAATGGGAGAGTCCAAATTATCAATATAATATAAAATGTGATATATTTTGAAGGCCGGAATATTTGTTAATTTAAGTAACAACCAATCTCTCACATTCGACCAAAACAATTCAGAAAAGGGGCAAGAGAAAAATAAATGTTCCAACGATTCATCAGATAAATTACAAAAGGAACATGGTTCCACTTCAAATTTAAATCTTGAATTTAAAAAAGTAGAAACCGGGTAGATTTTATGAACAATTTTAAAATGAGTTTCTTTTGCTTTAGGGGAAATAGGCCATTTTATAAAATCAGATAGAGCTTTTTCCATTACAGATAAAGTGTCTAAATCGGTCACTTGAGGAAATAAGCCTCTGTTAAAATTGTGAAAAATGTGGGATTTCAGGGAAGCATTAATAGATTTGTTATTCTTAAGAGTATCGCCAATAATTTCCAAATTAGGTAAAACTGATACAACATTTGAGTACAGTAAAGTATTATGAATCATTCCAATAAGTGGTACAGGAATTGCTTTACAGATTTTGTTATAATCTTTAGCAGTACACGTTATATTGTATTTCGTTGAAAAGGCCAAAAAATCTAGCAGTTTACCATTGCAATCTAGTAAATCTCTAACAAACAAAATACCCCTCTCATGCCAATCACTCCTAAACAAGGATTTTCTGTTTATGATAATCACTCTATTGTTCCATAACGTAGATCCATGAGGAGAAAAATTGTGGGTAAATATCATCTTCCAATAATGAAGTATCTGCTTATGAAAATTTGACAATTTGGTCGGAATCTTATTAACCTCAAAATCACATTTTAAAAGAAAATCAAACCCTCCTAGACGTTTAAATATGGCCTTTGGAATATGGAACCACATGGATTCTGGCTGGGACAAAAAGGCTTTCAACCATTTTATTTTAATTGTTCCAATCATCGATTCAAAGTCTAAAGCTTTAATTCCGCCTTTATCATATTCTTTAACAAGCTGTGACTTTTTAATGTAGTGAGTTTTATTTCTCCACAAGAATTGGAAAATAATTGAGTTGGCTTTTTTTATATTAGCCGAAGAGACAAAACATGAGTGGCATGGATAAATAAGTTTAGATATACCTTCTGCTTTAGTAAGAAGAACTCTGCCAAAAATAGTAAGATCTCTAGTTAACCAACGACTGAGAGATTTCTTCATATCTGTGATACGGTTACAAATATTAAGATCTTCTCTCCTGATATAATTTTTAGATAATGTTATTCCCAAATATTTCACCTCAGGTACCACTCTAATAGAGTCAATAGTGGAATCATCACATGAATGGATAGGGAGTAATTCACATTTTGAAAGATTAAGAGATAACCCTGATGCTTTTGAAAAAATTGAAATTGTGTTAAGAGTTTCCTTTACCATGGATTTATTCTTTAGGAAAATGGATGTGTCATCTGCAAATTGACTAATTTTGAACTCTTTGTCAAAGAGGGTAATGCCTAATATTTTGTGATTCTTTATAATAAGCGTTGTTAATACTTGGGTGGTCAGAATAAATAATTTGGGGGAAATAGGACAACCCTGTCGAATACCACGTAAAACCTTAAACCTAGGACTCATTCCAGGGTTCAAAGATACAGAACTATAAATGTCCGAGTAGAGCATCCTAATTATGTTGCAGAAATGTTCACCAAAACCCAGAAATGTCAGAGTTTCCATTAAAAAGGAATGTTCAACAGTATCAAAAGCCTTGTAAAAATCCAGAAATAGTACGAGACCTTCAGTATCAATAAACTCCTGGTAATCAAGCATATCCAATATCAGTCTGGTATGGTTATGAATACTTCTGCCCTTTATAAAGGCTGATTGACATTCATCTATTAGTTGATTCAGACCCGAGTTTAACCTGTTAGCATAAACATGTGCTAAAAGTTTGTAATCATTACATAACAGGGTAATAGGTCTCCAATTATCCAACAAAAGATTATTTTTATTTGGTTTTGGAATTAAGGTAATAAGGCCATGTTTCATGGTTGGCGAAAGGTTTCCTGCTGAAATGCAATCTGTGAACGCCTTATAAAGCATTTCTCGCACATCTGACCAAAAACATTTATAAAACTCTATGGTTAAACCATCCAGCCCTGGTGATTTGCCACCAGACATTTGCAGTAATGCACTATCTAATTCTTCAATTTTTAGTCCATCGTCCATATACTGTTTAAAAGAATAATCTATTGTCTTTTTGAATTCTGTAATTTTACTAAAAAAGTTATCACAATTTTCTTTAGAAAACTTTGAGTTATATAAATTGCTATAAAAAAGTCTAATTTCTTCATTTATCTGGTCTTGATTTTCAATAGTGACATCATTAATAATCAGTTTTTGGATTTTCTTTTTCACTTGTCTTTGCTTTTCAAGATTGAAGAAATAAGAAGTGTTTTTCTCTCCTTGCTCAATCCATCGGGCTCTCGAACGAATAAAAGCTCCCTTTGCTTTTTCCAAATACATGTTGTCTAATTGAGTTTGTAAATTGTTCAGTTGAATTTGCTCATCCAATGATAACTCAGCTTTAAGGCATAAATTATTAATTGCACTTGTCATCTCTTGTTGTTTTTGTTTCTTTAATCTAGAAGAGTATTTACAGGATTTTATCGCAATCTGTCTCACACTAAATTTAAACCATTCCCATTTACTGAGAGATGACATATCCAAAGCCAGAGTTTCTTTTATCAGTTGTTTGATCTCTCTACAAAAATCTGCATTCTCCAAAAGACTATTATTGAATTTCCATATAGGGTTAAGATTGGGACTGAAGTTGCATAGTAAAAGGGACAAAGAGATGACACAGTGATCCGTCAGAGGTGATGCTGAAATGTCACACTTTGAGACATTATTAGTTAAACTAGTAGAGATTAACCAATAATCGAGCCTAGAGCACTGACCATTGTTAGAAGAGTTAAACCAGGTATATTGTGATTTTGAGGGATTATTTATTCTCCAAACATCAGTTAAATTAAGTTTAGAGGCCAAGTGAATAATAGAATCATTAAAATTATGACATTGTCCCCTTAAAGGAAGACGATCTAACCACTCATCAGGAACTACATTAAAATCCCCTCCGATTATAATCTTATCAGTCATATAAAGTGCTTTCCATTCCTCTAATTGTTGGCACAAGATTGAAAGAAAATTATTGTTTTGAATCTTTCTGTTATACCCATAAACACACACCAGTATGTAATTAGACCCATTAACATCAGTCACAACCATTAGCCAATGACCGTTTGTATCACTCCTGTGGTCAATTATATTTCCAGGTAACCTGTTAAATAAAATCATCACTCCAGCCGAATGTGTTGTTCCATGGCTGAAAAAAATGTTGTCTCCCCATTGTACTTTCCAGAACTTAGTGTCTGCCTCTGCAGAATGAGTTTCTTGCAGAAAAACACAATTTGCTTTTTGTTCCTTACAAAAAAGAAAAATTGCCTTACGTTTCACATTGTTTTTTAGCCCCCTAGCATTTAAGGATATGAAAGATAACATTGAAAGAGCAAAGATAGAATCTTTAAGAAAATGCGCAAAGGAATGTTATATCGATGCGCAGGAGTGAGTAACGTAGCCCTTAACAAACATATTTAGTGCAATAGCTCACAACATTTTGAATATAACCTGAGACAAGTCCAATCAAACACTCAAACTGAGAACTTCAGCATACCTACTGAGGACAGAAAACCTGCTCCCTGTCCTTCCAGTTAATTACTGCGGTGTTTTTCACTTTATTCCGGGTCCACTCTTTTGTTGTCAATCAGCGCGAAGCCTTCCTTCAAAAAGGCTCTCTTCCCCTTTCTCCTGGCTTCTTGAACCAGTGGCCACAGCTTGGAGCGAGCCTCCCGGTCCTCCTTGGAGAAATCCTCTTTGAAACGAATGTGCATCTCGCTGCAGACTCTCGCATCTTTGGACTTTTTCCAGATCTCGTCACGAACAGTCCTCATCCCGAACTGAATGATGATTGACCGCGGTGTGTTGTTGGAAGTAGCTGCATTACCCTTCATACCCAGCCGATGGACAGTGTCCACTGAGTCACGCAGCTTCTCCACAGACAGCGGAACAACTCTTGTGAGTATCCCGATCACAGCTTCTCTTGTGTTTTCTCCTTCTTTTTCAGGCAGACCATTCATCCTCAGATTCCACCTCCGTTTGTAGCGGGCTTGCTCCTCGCCAGACTTACGTAGTAAAGTGTTATCTTTTAGAAGATCATCAAACTTTTTCTGAAGAGCAGAAATGTCTTTCTTATTTTCTTTAGCTGCTTCAGTGTTTGCTTCAATGCGTTTTTCAAACTTTCTTAACAGCTCTGTCTGTTCATCCATTTTTCCGGATAAGACTTGAATTGCCTGGAGAATGGTGCTGTTGCTATCCTCTGCCATTTGTGTTTCGCCGTGAACCTTCGATTTCTTTGGATTCGGTCCTTTAGTTGGTGTGTGGTCCCGATTTATTTTGTGTCCCTTAGAGTTGTCCGCTTCCATGTCCTCAATATCCGAGTCGTCACACGCCTCACGGAGAACTTTTAAGTTGTAATCGTGGTCGGTCATGCTAGCAGGCACTTTATGTCAAAAGTGTTGGTAACTGGAGAATTAAAGTAAAATGTGACTATTTAAGCTTCTATAATAACTTAAAGTGTATCATGAATAAGCTATTGCCTGTCAGTTTTACAGTCAAGGACTAAAATCTAAACTTTTTCTACGAGCCTGCAACGTTGTTACTTCTCACTCCGCCATCTTCCCGCGGATTCAGTTCTTATTATACATCCATGGTGACGACGCGCTGCTTCTTCCTCCTTCTTCTTCTTCTTCTTCTTCTTCTTCTTCTTCTTCTGGTTTTAATGCCGGGCGGGATTTAAGGTGTAAAAGGTGCATTACCGCCCCCTAGTGTGTGGAGCGGAGATCATGGGAAAAGAAAGGGGGGACCATGAGAAAAATATAAAAGAAAGCAGCCTTTCGTTGACTTTTATTATACATAACTTAAATTCAGTGAAGCCATTTCAACCATAATCCTACATACTTGGATAATGAGTCAAGAAATATAATATAAAAATAAATATAAAATATAATATTTGGATAAAAGCGATGAGGTTTGAGGTGATCGTGTAAAACCCATAGACTGTATATATAAAGGTAAAACCCCACAGTTTTGAAGCCGTCTTCGCAGCAGAACCGCGCCCTCTAGAGTCCCTGGTGTGTAACTGCACTCTGTTGCACAAGGATGCGGCAGGAAGCTTTTATAACTCCTAATTAAGGTTATATAAATCACATTTCTATAAAGATAAATCATTTTGAATGACAAAGCTTTTTTCAAGGTGTAGAATACAAGTATTTTTCTTGTACTATGATTGAATTAAATAACATATTTCACCTCTAAAGGGAAATAGTAGGCCTAATATATATATATATATATGCAATACATTTAACACAAAAAACAAAGCTTAAGGGTCTTCTAAACAATGTAGTAAATTAGAAATGTCTTTATAATTTAATAATATTTGACAGTTTAGTATTGGTGCCAAGAAATGTAAGTTTCATTATCAGTCAAATATGATATAAAATCGGTAAAAACTACTTTTATGCTTTTAATTTGGTTTAAAAGCATAAAAGTAGAGTATTTGTTTGTGCTATATTGTTTAATTGATATAATAAGAGAGTTTCCAACACAGTACAGCAGAGGAAAACTACGACCACTGGTTTAACGTTTAAGTAGTCGACAAAAAAAGTGACTTCCTGGATTCTTCAGAAATCTTTTAATCAATATATAAAAGTCAAAACATGTCATCTTTCAGCCAAAGGGTCCGAGAGATAACAGGTTTATTTTCCCAAACAATCTAAGCAAAAATGTTGATTGGTTTATTGATTATCAAGCCGGGAAAATGATATTAATTAGAACATATTATAAGTATTAAAAGTTGATCTTAATATATTTAAAACATATGTATTAATATGTTGGATTAAGTATACTACGTCAACTCCCACGTCAGCTGATGAATGGCGTCAGAAACTCGTGACCTGTTGGTTTCTCAGGAATGATATCTATGTGGGTGTGTGTGTGTGTGAGTGTGTGTGTGTGTGTGTGTGTGTGTGTGTGTGTGTGTGTGTGTGTGTGTGTGTGTGTGTGTGTGTGTGTGTGTCTCTGTGTGTGTGTCTCTCTGTGTGTGTGTGTGTGTGTGTGTCTGTGTGTCTGTCTGTCTGTCTGTCTGTCTGTCTGTCTGTCTGTCTGTCTGTCTGTCTGTCTGTCTGTCTGTCTGTCTGTGTGTGTGTGTGTGTGTGTGTGTGTGTGTGTGTGTGTGTGTGTGTGTGTGTGTGTCTCTGTGTGTGTGTCTCTCTGTGTGTGTGTGTGTGTGTGTGTGTGTCTGTGTGTCTGTCTGTCTGTCTGTGTGTGTGTGTGTGTGTGTGTGTGTGTGTGTGTGTGTGTGTGTGTGTGTGTGTGTGTGTGTGTGTGTGTGTGTGTGTGTGTACAGAGTACAATGGATATAAACTTTCTTTTCAGTTTCACCCTTTAACAATAATATGCATTTAGACTTGATTGAGTTATCTGAAAACATTTTGAATTCATTTATTTCAGGTTGTGACCCCTGACCGTCTGTCCGAGGTCACCTTTAAAACATGTTAAGACCCGTTTTTGTTTAGTTTTATTAAATAGTTAATTTACTTTTAAATGTTATTGTTAAGATTGCTAGTCTGCTCCACATTGTATATGTTTACCCTTTTACTGAAGCAGCCTATACTTTATCTGTGTTATTATGATATAAACTGTCGTATAGGGAGTTAGTTACATGATCCTACAGTTATCTAAAGTTATTTTACAGCAAATGTGAATCCATTAATTGTTGTCTTATTCACATAAAATAATAATGTACGTGTAAAATAGCTTAATTATTCCAATGTGTCGCTAACCAGATGTTTGTCTCATATAGAGTCAGATTTATGAAGATGTTACCAGAAACACAAACATTATAAAATGGAATATAATTGGAAAAGTCTGAATTACCCATATGTAACTTAATTGTATATTTATTTTATGTTGACTTGCACTTAGATCTGTTCATGTTTTAAACTATTTTATTCCCTTTTATTCTATTAATTTAATGTATTTCGCTTTTTCAATGTATGCCCTTGTAAGGATACTCCAGCAGGTGCCTCTTGCTCCACAATGGAAGCTAGGGAATGCGTGGTCGCATCCCAACACATGTGTATCGCTTCCTTCCTAGTGTCCTTGGCTTACCTTTTACAAGAATAATGAAGAGATTCAGCATTATATTTCAAATATAGCTATCAGTATTTTATTAATATGTATTTCATTCATGTGAACCCTAAAACAAAACGATTTAATGGAGTTTAATGATGTAAAGTCGTGTAAGGAAATGTCTGTTTATAGAAATGGTACGCAGCCCGGAATGAATCTACGACGTAGGGATCTCTAACGTAATCGCCGCTCACGTGATTGATGATGACGTCGAAAGCCGGTGCCTCTAAAGTGAAGTGACCTTCTCTCCGACAGAGAGGAACCATCAGCCGAGAGAAGAACCTGCTTTATCCCCGCATATCTCCACCAAAAGGTAAATGATCACACTTCATACTCAGCTTGTATATCAAACAGACACTGAGGGTGGGTGTGTTGGTGTTTAAATTATGCTAAAATACAATATAAAGGATCAAAGAGGAAGAGATGCTGAGAACTAACGGTTAGCTACCGGCCGCCCATTTTGGTGCATCGCGCCGGTTACTCTCTTTACGTAAATCCATCTTTGATTCTACTCAAACTGTTAATTAAATGGTGGATTTAATTGTTGTTTTAAATATATATATTTAATGTCCTTCCTAGTGTCTTCTCCTGGCAGTAAAGGTGTTCGTTAACTACGCCGACATTGAAGCATCCTTGAACCCTAACCTTGCTAGCAGCTAGGGTAAAGAGGGTTACCGTAATATCAAAGTATAAGCGCGGATAAGAAGAAAATAAAAAGCCTACGTTTCAAAATAAGAGCATGGAAGCTTATTTTTAACTTTATGATGTGTGTGTCCTTGATGGGAAGAATGTGTGCGAGGGGTATCCCGCCATGTTAGATTATTAAAAGCCTGTCTGGGTTGTGGTACCTATGCTATCTTTATCTTATAGTAGTATTATAGGGAATGGGATTGGACGTTAACACCTGATAGACAAAAGTGCGAGATATAACATGGGCGGAAAATACCGTTTAATAATATGTAACTGCTCATAGATAACGTTCAGCAACTGGCGATATTAATCCCTTTTTGTCTCAGTTGTGAGTCGTGTTCTCCTCACTGCGGGTTTTCTTTCTTGTAGGACAGCAATGTGTGTGTGTGTGTGTGTGTAGTGTGTACCCATTTTTAAATGACATTTGAGCTTTTGTTTTGAAAAGCGCTACCTGCTACACACTGGAAGCTTCCATTTATTGTAGGAGATAGTGATAGTGAAGCTAATGGCTGGTTATGTATTCACTGTAAAGGCTTCCCTGGTACTGGTCGTGTAAGGAGTGGACACACACACACACACACCCACCCACATACTCTTAAAAAAAGCTGGTTTTTGCGCACTTTTAAACAGTTTCATCATGTACATATCTTAAGCTAAGTACATCAATCTTTGCTCCCTTATTTCACAACCCCTTTTCTTGTGATGTAACCCGAGCTGAGGCTTTTATTTGGAGCTGTTTCCAGTTTATATCCATGTCAGATTTCCCTGAAATGACCTCAGTGCTGGGAGGGAAAGTCACGACTTGTTGTGTGTGTGTGTGTGTGTGTGTGTGTGTGTGTGTGTGTGTGTGTGTGTGTGTGTGTGTGTGTGTGTGTGTGTGGTGTGTGTGTGTGTGTGTGTGTGTGTGTGTGTGTGTGTGTGTGTGTGTGTGTGTGTGTGTGTGTGTGTGTGTGTGTGTGTGTGTGTGTGTGTGTGTGTGTGTGTGTGTGTGTGTGTGTGGTGTGTGTGTGTGTGTGTGTGTGTGTGTGTGTGTGTGTGTGTGTGTGTGTGTGTGTGTGTGTGTGTGTACCTTTTTAAATGACATTTGAGCTTTTAATTTGAAAAGCACTGCTTCATACTGGAAGCTTCCATGTATTGTAGGAGATAGTGAAGCCTATTTAAAGGAAGGGTATGCACTGTAAAGGCTTCCCTGGTATTGGACACACATACATACATACATACATACATACATACACACACTGAGAAATAGACGGGTTTTTTTGCAGGTTTTTACAGCCTTTCCTCCACAGTATCATTGACAGATCTTAAGCTACGTTTTGTTGTACTCCATATACAGTAACATGAGCCGAGGCTTTTTATTTGGATCTGTTTCCGCTTTATATTCATGTCAGATTTCCCTGAAATGACCTCAGTGTCTTGTTAGCGGATCTTGTCCCCAAACGACCTTCACTACGTGTCGCCGGGGAGAAAGAGAATGAGATTCCTGCCATAACTGAGACTAAGAATAGAAAACAAGCTGCTGAATTAATATACTAGTATTTAGCTTCTCTCATGACCTTTGACACATATTTCAATCTGTTTTATTTAGACACACGTGGTTTGTGATATTGGGTTTTATGTCTACACATCATGTCATTCCCCTGACTTAAAGGTCCCACGTCATGGCCATTTCTACTGATCATAATCCCATTGTTGAGGTCTACTAGAATAGATTGACATTGTTCAATGTTCCAAACTCACATTGGTTTCTCAAACAGCATCTCTATAGTATGTGTATTCACTCTCTGTCCTACACGGCTTGAGTCAGCTCGCCCACTCTGTTCTGATGAGTCCACCACCGTTACAGCTGATCATCAGTGATTATGTTTTACAATGGCGTTTGTTAGGAACCAGAAAATGACACCAGTAATGACAAACAGATGAGAATGCTGCGTGGGGTCTGGGTGCCGTGTTGGAGGGACGTTGCGGGGCTCGCTGCTCCGCCCTTTGAGGCTCGAGGAGCGGACAGTGTGAGCTGGATTACTGGTGTCGTTTCCTGGTTGCTGCGTGGGGTCTGCGAGACGGCGAGACACAACGAAACCCAGCCTGAGCCCAGCCTGAGCACACACACACACACACACACACACACACACACACACACACACACACACACCTGCAGCCTGGCTGTGAGTCTGCGTGTGTGCTCAGAACGAGCCCCGCCGCGTCTCGCCGTCTCAGTCTGAGTTCAGTCTGAGTTCAGGCTGAGAAATCTGCGGAGCTGCAGCTGAGAAAAGATTGAGTGTGTGTGAGACGTTACGTCACTATACCCAATTCGTCACTGTACTTACTACACTATAAGAAGAAAGCAATGGAAAAAGAGAAATGTCCAACGAGGCGTTCTGGGGCAGCATAGACAGGTCTTCTCTGTGTTAGAGTTTTACTCGCTACAGGGTGTACTTTGAGGGTTTGTGACTCTGCAGACCGTTCACATGCAGAAGCTACAGAACACAAGGGGACGGGTCAGAACCGGAGAAGCATGACATGGGACCTTTAAAGTTGTTTGTGTTTGTGCAGCTAACGATGGCCGCCGGTTGTCCTTTATAAATCACAATCAATTCGAAATTCGGACTTCACGTAACGCCCATATTTGCCTATAAATAGTCAAAGGAAAACCCTGTGTTAATATTCATTAGAGGAGAAACTTACATATTGTTACAGCAGAAAAGAGCCAAAGACAGCTTAATGCTAACGAAGAAGCATAAACAAGAAGAATTACACAATTTACAAAATACACATCCTGTAACAGTTCTGAAGATTTAGCAGCCAGGTATATATTGCACAGTTATTAACGGCATATATATATATTTTGCACAGATGCCGACAGAACAGCTAAAAAAGACATTTCACACCGTGTCAGATTTTGGTTATTTCGGGGCCATGGAGACGATAATAAATCATATTGTTTGTTTAAATATCCTCATTCTGGGAATTAAAAAGGGTTAGGGGTTAAAGGTCAAAGATGGGTTCGGGTAACAGTAAAACAGGGTGTGACTACCCGATTTGCATCTCTGCCCGATTTGCGTTGCGCATGCACGAGTCTTAAACGTCTCAAATATCTATACAAAAATATTTTATTTAATTTGAAATCAAATGAAAGACAGTCACAGTTAATGTGATTAGATATAAATTATTAATGCCATACATCTTAGCATAAATTCACAGTAAATCATTCTTCAGTATGATAGCTGTCTAACTGAAGTTAAATCCATTTCTCACGTACTCTGAGAATCAACCCAATAAAAGGAGTTGTTAATAAAAGTGAAGTCACGTTGTAATAACAATAACTCATCTCTCTCGTTCAGATTCATGTTGTCGTTGGGTTGCCGTATGTAGCTGTCCAATATGGCAGACCATCTCGCGCTTATGCAATGCAAATCGGGCAGAGATGCAAATCGGGTAGTGACACGGGGAGATGTGTGTCTGGGGGGAGGCTAAACGGGGGGAGGCTAAACGGGTGAAAGGGATATACAAAGGTTAGAAAAGTGTCAAAATAACTATAATTTCACAAGAAGAATAGGGGTCGAGGAATGTGAGAATCTGGTGAGGGAGATTTCCAAACATCTGGAACTCTGACTACTTTTACATTCAGGCTGAAGACTTTTCTTTTTGAAATCTTCACATCTCACACTGCGCTGTAACTGTTATTCATGTTTTATTATCTTTGCTTCCTAACGTGTTTCATGTTTGTAAAGCACTCTGAATTGCCTTGTGTTGAAAAGTGCTCTATGAATAACCTTGCCTTGTTGTTGTTGTTGTTGTTGTTTGTGTTTGTGCAGCTGACGATGGGCGACGTAGCGAAGGGAAAGAAGGCGTTTGTGCAGAAATGTGCTCAGTGCCACACAGTGGAGGAAGGGGGGAAACATAAGGTCGGCCCCAACCTGTGGGGTCTGTTTGGACGCAAGACCGGCCAGGGGGTGGGATACTCCTACACGGACGCCAACAAGAGCAAAGGTCAGGACCCCTCAATGACCCCTAATTGACCCCGAAATAACCACCAAATAACCACCAAATAACCACCAAATAACCCGTAGATAACCCCTCAACAAACCCTGAATAACCCCTAAAAAAAAACGAAAGAAACCCCTAAAATATCCCCTTAATAACCCGTAGATAACTCCTAGATAACCCTAAAAATACGAAATAAGCCCTAAATTAAGCCCTCAATAAACCCCTAAATGACCCTAAATGACCCTAAATAACCCCTCAATTACCCCTAAATAACCCCGTAAACAACCCCCTAAACAACCCCTAAATGACCCCTAAAGAACCCCTAAATAACCCCTAAACAACCCCTAAAGAACCCCTAAATTAAGCCCTCAATAAACCCCTAAATAACCCGTAAATAACTTCTAGATAACCCCTAAATGACCCTAAATAACCCCTCAATTACCCCTAAATAACCCTAAAAAGACCAAATAACCCCTAAATTAACCCCTCAATAAACCCCTAAATAGCCACTAAATAACCTGTAAATAATTCCTAGATAACCCCTAAATGACCCTTAAACAACCCCCTAAAAACCCTAAATAACCCTTTCTTATCTATCTATATAAACTTCGCCTTATGCTCTGGTTTCTTAGATTTCCTCTCAGGTTGTCAATCAAAGTTAATTGATTGATTGATACCTTAGTTTCTTCTTAACCCTTTTACTCTTCGCCCTCATGCTCAGGGGCCTCATCTATAAAGGGATATACTCTCAAAAAATGGCGTACGCCAGTTTCTACGCAATGTTTGCGATTTATAAAATACTAACTTGATGGGAAAATGTGCGGTCCTCCACGCAAACTCTAACCCATGCGTACGCACTAAGCACAACAACGGGAGAGACGAGAAACTGCGACACCGTTGGCAGAAGGAAGAATGGAGAGAAATATGTGGAAATAATACCATAAATAAAATGTTACCTCTCATTTATCAAATATGAAGAATTCATTTTCAAACATTGATTAAAGCCAATCTTAAAATGATGAAACAAACGCCTGTTTGAGACTCCTCAGTGCACACAAAAACATAACTTGGAGAAATAAATAAATACGGATATGTTATTTAAAACCACCTCGAATATGTTGTGTTAATGTTATGAAATGTTTTCTCATAAATGATGCGGTAAGCAGGAGGACAGAATTACGTCTAAACTGACGCCGTTTTGCATTTCTATAGGTTGTAGATACGAGCATGGTTTTATATACTATCACGTTTAATCGTGTTTTATGCCGTTTGCCAAGACTTGATAAGTGGCTCGTAAAACCCAGGAGGTATGGAAACTAAGAACACCATATGTGGTAAACAGCTAATATAACACAACACATTGTATTTCCTTTAACTGGTGGATTATGGATATATAGTTGCTGATCGACAGCTGGAACACAAACCACCAAATACAACACAATCATTCAGATCCAGTCGTCATGACTACACTCCGGAGGGATTCCCCCATCATTTCTTACAGTTTCTCATCAAGGGGGGGGTCTCCTGTCCCCGGGACAAACACACTGCCTGAGGAAGGTTATGTGTCTTTTTTTTGTCATTAACTTTTTTCGGACCACTTATTTATTTATGTTGGTGACGATCCGACCTCCATGCTGCTACTCTGGTTCAAACTGCATCCACCAAACAATATCATTTATCTCCACCTCCCCACAATAACCAAAATCTGACACGGTGTGAGATGTCTTTTTTAGCTGTTCTATCGTAATTTCCTGCGATCTTCTTCATGCAGTCAGTCAGAATGAATGAATGGATGAATGGATGGATGGATGGATGGATGGATGAATGGATGGATGGATGGATGGATGGATGAATTAATGGATGGATGAATTAATGGATGAATGGATGAATGGATGGATGAATGAATGGATGGATGAATGGATGAATGGATGGATGAATGAATGGATGGATGAATGAATGAATGGATGGATGAATGGATGGATGGATGGATGGATGGATGAATGGATGGATGGATGAATGAATGGATGAATGGATGAATGGATGGATGGATGAATGGATGGATGGATGGATGAATTAATGGATGGATGAATTAATGGATGAATGGATGAATGGATGGATGGATGAATGGATGGATGAATGGATGAATGGATGGATGAATGGATGGATGGATGAATGGATGGATGGATGAATTAATGGATGGATGAATTAATGGATGAATGGATGAATGGATGGATGGATGAATGGATGGATGGATGGATGAATTAATGGATGGATGGATGGATGAATTAATGAATTAATGGATGGATGAATTAATGGATGGATGAATTAATGGATGGATGGATGAATGGATGAATGGATGGATGGATGAATGGATGAATGGATGGATGGATGAATGGATGGATGGATGAATGGATGAATGGATGGATGAATTAATGGATGGATGGATGGATGAATTAATGGATGGATGGATGGATGAATTAATGAATTAATGGATGGATGAATTAATGGATGGATGAATGAATGAATGGGCGTTTCTTTGACTATTTATAGGCAAATATGGGCGTTACGAGTCGATTGTGATTTCTAAAGGGAAACAGGCGTAGGAAGTGCCGTACGCACTTCCCTCGCCGGTACGCAATGTTTTGTGAATCGGAAAGTGTCGGAACATTTCTGTACCTATTTTTTTTTGCTTTGTACTACGTAAGCAACCTTCCTACGTGAATCCTACGCAAGGCGTTATAAATGAGGCCCCTGGTCTCTCAGATGTTCCTCTCTTTTCTCCTAATCGACTCATCTCTCCGTCTTTACCCCCCCCCCTCTCTCCTCCTCCCAGGTATCGTTTGGGGCGACGCCACCTTGATGGAGTACCTGGAGAACCCTAAGAAGTACATTCCTGGCACCAAAATGATCTTCGCCGGCATCAAGAAGAAGGGAGAGCGCACGGACCTGGTGGCGTACCTCAAATCTGCCACTTCATGAAGATGATCAATGAATGTCCATTTATTACTGTATTTCTTCCCGTGTCTATATCTATCTGCCACATACTGAATATATACCGTTTTATGTTTAGTCATTTCCGTTTTAAAGAGGTTTATTTATGTTGTATAAAGTCTAATGAGGTCAGGGTGGCGATTCAGACGATTGAACAAATGACCAAACATAAAACTAGAATAATGAAGAACAAAATCACTTTTATTTAATTTTAACGCTTTGTTTTAATGACGACACATGTCTGGTACTTTATGCTTTCAACATAGACCTCATATTGAACTAAACACGAGCGAAATCAGAGCGAAACGGTGGAAATGTGAGACGGCTAGGTGGTGCTCAAGGAGCTGTTTACACTCTCTATCCTGAAACGCCCCTTTTTAGATTCCTCTCGTTTTAATATTGAACTCTTTTAAATTATGTGGACTAACCCTCCTGCCACTCTGTTTTAGAAAGGTCTGAATCACTGTTATCAGCCTCTTTGCAGCCGGTTCGATCCCCGCTGTGTCTCATGTCCTGAAGAAGGAAGCGTACGTTATTTACCTGGTTTCACAGGAGAGAGAGAGAGAGAGAGGGGTTTAACTTATTTGACTGTAACCTGCTGTGAGGATGTTCACACAGAAACACACACTGTATGCACTTAACTATAGTAATGATGATGATGATGATGATGATGATGATAATGATGTCGAGCGGTGTGCAAACGGACGGATGAAGGATTAAAGAAAAGTCCAGAAAACATGTCTCATTGTCTTTTTATTTACATCGGTTTAAGAAGTACTCGGATATTATAAGGTCCTCAAGCTGTTCCTCAAGTAGAAGTAGAAGTACTCAGATCTTGTACTTGAGTGAAAGTAGAAGTACTCAGATCTTGTACTTGACTAAAAGTAGAAGTACTCAGATCTTGTACTTGACTAAAAGTAGAAGTACTCAGATCTTGTACTTGACTAAAAGTAGAAGTACTCAGATCTTGTACTTGAGTAAAAGTAGAAGTACTCAGATCTTGTACTTGAGTAAAAGTAGAAGTACTCAGATCTTGTACTTTAGTAAAAGTAGAAGTACTCAGATCTTGTACTTGAGTAAAAGTAGAAGTACTCAGATCTTGTACTTGAGTAAAAGTAGAAGTACTCAGATCTTGTACTTGAGTAAAAGTAGAAGTACTCAGATCTTGTACTTGAGTAAAAGTAGAAGTACTCAGATCTTGTTCTTAGTAAAAGTAAAAGTACTCGGATCTTGTACTTGAGTAAAAGTAGAAGTACTCAGATCTTGTACTTGACTAAAAGTAGAAGTACTCAGATCTTGTACTTGAGTAAAAGTAGAAGTACTCAGATCTTGTACTTGAGTAAAAGTAGAAGTACTCAGATCTTGTACTTGAGTAAAAGTAGAAGTACTCAGATCTTGTACTTTAGTAAAAGTAGAAGTACTCAGATCTTGTACTTGAGTAAAAGTAGAAGTACTCAGATCTTGTACTTGAGTAAAAGTAGAAGTACTCAGATCTTGTACTTGAGTAAAAGTAGAAGTACTCAGATCTTGTACTTGAGTAAAAGTAGAAGTACTCAGATCTTGTTCTTAGTAAAAGTAAAAGTACTCGGATCTTGTACTTGAGTAAAAGTAGAAGTACTCAGATCTTGTACTTGAGTAAAAGTAGAAGTACTCAGATCTTGTACTTGAGTAAAAGTAGAAGTACTCAGATCTTGTACTTGAGTAAAAGTAGAAGTACTCAGATCTTGTACTTTAGTAAAAGTAGAAGTACTTAGATCTTGTACTTGAGTAAAAGTAGAAGTACTCAGATCTTGTACTTGAGTAAAAGTAGAAGTACTCAGATCTTGTACTTGAGTAAAAGTAGAAGTACTCAGATCTTGTACTTGAGTAAAAGTAGAAGTACTCAGATCTTGTACTTTAGTAAAAGTAGAAGTACTCAGATCTTGTACTTGAGTAAAAGTAGAAGTACCAGAGTGTAGGAATACTCTGTTACAGTAAAAGTCCTGCATTCAAAATGTTCCTCAAGTGAAAGTAGAAAAGTATTCTCATCAAAATATAGTGAAAGTAGCAACAGTAAAAGTAGTCATTGTGCAGATTGGTCCATTTCAGAATAATATATATGATATGTTTTATAATGATTGATCATGAAAGTGTTCTCAAAGCTGGTAAAGGAGCAGCTAGTTTGAATGACTTTGTATACTGCAGGGTAGCTTGTGGAAGAAGTACACCATGTACCTCTGAACTGTAGAGGAGTAGAAGTACACAGTAGAATAAGATGGAAATACTCAAGTAAAGTACAAGTATCTAGAAATTCTACTTAAGTACAGTACTTCAGACCTCTGATGTTTGAACAGAATAAAACAGATTACAGTCTGAATTGTTTTCTGAGTAAAACGCCTCAAGATAAAAACAGTGAACGTGACATCTACTAACTTAAAGCAATCAGTGCAAAGTCAACATCAATTCTGAGTAAGACACACACACACACACACACACACACACACACACCTGATATGTGTTACATAATCCTCCAGTGAAGTGTTTCCAGGAACAGGTCAGCTGAGTTCACGTCTCCCCCCCGATCAAAGCTCACACACACACACACACACACACACACACACACACACACACACACACTCACTCAGCCTGTGGAACGTCATATATTGATCAGTGTGCAGTACATGTAATACAGATAAACAGCTGATAATGTTATTAATGTCCTCTTAATTAGATTCTAATTTCCTCTGAGGTTATATTTCTTTATCTTAAGTAAACGTAGTGACATCACAGTGTCAACATACTCAGATCATTGTGGCAGTAGTGGGTTGACAGTAGATATGGATTTAATAAAAGATATCTATAGAGGATGTTGTAGTGCCGAGAGAAGGGAGTCGGAGGCGGTGCATCGAAGGTGCAAATGGGTACTTTAATGAGCGACAGAAATAGACATGTTGTCAGGTCGCAGCCCGGGAAGACAAGACTACAAGTGAAAGGAGGGCACACAGTAGGTACACAGTAGGTACCGTCAACATATGTGTCCGTGCGGAAACAATACCCCCAACCCGTAGTTCCATGAGTGAATTATGTAACCTAGTTAATTAGTGATCACTACACAAGCCCCCCCAGAATTCAACCATGGACACAATCCTCGCGTCCGGGAGGAAGCACCACAGGGGCCGAGGAGGGTGGCGCCGCAGGCGAGAGCCGGGCCACGGAACGGGCCGTCGGAAGGGGGCCGCAGGATAGGGTAGGGGCCCTAACGAGGGCGAGGGCATCCCCACCGGGGGGTGGGGGGCGGGCCGGAACGGGCCGTCGTCAGGGGGCCGCAGAAAGCAGGGTCGATGTGTTGCGACGTGGGGACGGGCGTGAATATCCCGGTGGTCCCCAGCAGGGAGGACCGCTGCCCGGCCGCAGGCGAAGGCACAGCAGCGGCGGGTACGAAGTCCTCGGGAGGAAGGAGCCGTGTCCCCGGGAGGAGGGAGCCGTGGACAGGGGAGAGGCCAGACGGGGCGCCGTCCGAAGCCGCCGTCGAGGCGAACCGTGAGCCGCGGTTAGAGGTGAGGCCAGGCAGGGTCCCGAAGCACGCCACCCACAGGCCGATGAAGGCATGGGCGACGTCCGAAACCGCCGAGGCGAGGGAAGAGGCCAGACAGGGTCCCGAAGCGCGCCACCCACGGGCCGATGAAGGCATGGGCGACGTCCGAAACCGTCGAGTCGAGGCGAGACGGGGTCCAGAAGTGCGCCACCCACGGGCCGAAGAAGGCATGGGCGACGTCCGAAGCCGCCGTCGAGGTGGTGAAAAAGCGAGAGGGTCCACACGAGGCCGACCAGACATGGTCGAACCTCCTCTCAGGCACCAGAAAAAGCTCAAAAGGGTCGTCCTGTCCACGATCAAAAACAGGTGGGCGAAATTGTGAGAGGATCCACACGAGGCCGACCAGACGTGATCGAACCTCCTCTCCGGCACCACAAAAAAAAACAGACTGATGTCAATAGCCGCTAGCTGCTAGTCGTTAGCTGTCGTCGTCAGCCGTTGCTAGTTGTCGTCGTTAGCCGTTGGTAGCTGCTAGCCGTTAGCAGCCGTGGCTAGCCGTTCTCGACGGCCGTTAGTCGCTGTCGTCGGCGTCGGCGGCCCCGGAGCCTCTGCTAGGCGGTGTGCCCCCACCAGGGAAGGTGCCGCAGCGTATAGTGGCCAGCACCTCAGGGGTAAATCGCCGGGCGGCCAGGAAGAACCGGCTAGCTTCTTCGGCTAAAGCGCGGGGCCCAACACTAGCCGTGTTAGCTAGCGCAGCCTGGACATGCAGCCGCATGTCCCGAAGAAACAGCTCCATGAGGTAGAAGTCGAATTCCTCCATACCTAGCAGGTCGCGGGAATGGCGAGCGACGTCCTCAGCCATTCCGTGGGGCGCACCGAGCCTCAGTCCGTGTGCACGTGGCAGCCACGGACGTCTCCAAAAATCCCCGGCATTTCGAGAAAAACAGCGTTTGTTTTTTGCCGTGTTCGGTTCAGTCTCGGATCCTTCGCGAGACTTATGTCGGGGTCACCAATGTAGTGCCGAGAGAAGGGAGTCGGAGGCGGTGCATCGAAGGTGCAAATGGGTACTTTAATGAGCGACAGAAATAGACATGTTGTCGGGTCGCAGCCCAGGAAGACAAGACTACAAGTGAAAGGAGGGCACACAGTAGGTACACAGTAGGTACCGTCAACATATGTGTCCGTGCGGAAACAATACCCCCAACCCGTAGTTCCATGAGTGAATTATGTAACCTAGTTAATTAGTGATCACTACAAAGTACAATAAGCAGATCTTTGTAATAAGCAGCTTGAGAACGCTCCCTTGACGAGCAGTGCATTATAAAGTACATGCTTTGTTGATTATAATAAATAAAGAGTAACTAAGGTTATAGTATTCCCCTCTGAAATGTAGAAAATAAAGCAGCAGGAAATGGAAATATTTAAGTACAAGCAGATGTGTAAAGTACATTTACTTAAGTACTGTACTTAAGTACAATTTAGAGGTACTTGTACTTTAAAAACTGTCGCCAGATGCTGCTTAGCTTCCAAATCTAGACGAGATTAGGCGTTGGCCAGAAATGAGTTTGAAGCCATCTCCAGTCTTCCTCCATCTTTAGCTCCCATATCAGTTCATGGGTTAGTTTGTGTTAAGGAGAAAAACTGACCAACAAGAGCAAAGGTCAGGACCCCTTAATGACCCCTAAATAACCCCTCAATTACCACCAAATATCCCCTTAATAATCCCTAGATAACCCGTAGATAACTCCTAGATAACCACCAAATAACCCGGAGATAACCCCTCAACAAACCCCTAATTACCCCTAAAACCCCCCTGAAAGAAACCCCTAAAATAACCCCTAAATGACCACCAAATATCCCCTTAATAACTCCTAGATAACCCGTAGATAACCCCTAAATGACCCCTAAATAGCCCCTAAATGACCCCTAAATAGCCCCTAAATAACCCCCTAAATAACCCTAAAAAGACGAAATAACCCCTAAATTCACCCCTCAATAAACCCTAAATAACCCCTGAATGACCCTAAAAATAAACTAAATAACCCCTAAATGACCCGAAAAAGAAACTAAATAACCCCTAAATGACCCTTATATAACCCCTAAATGACCCCTATATAACCCCTAAAATTATTTACAACATATTTTACATTTGTAATCCCAGCCTTGAAACTGTAATGTAATAAGCTTTGTTAGCTATAACTATGTATATCAACTGCAGGGTT